TGATGACACTGCAGTACAGCGGCTGATGCTGCAGCATTTTAAGACAAATGCATCACGTCCATTCTATTTACGCACCTTAACCTGTCAAATGTATGAACGGCTCAGTTGTTTTTCCTGTCGTAGTAGCCTGTCATTATTCTTCTCTAAGCGCCAGAGGAAGTGTAAAAAAAAAAATACCCGGACAGCAGAGTGAATTTGATGCAGAAATCTGGGATTTGGAACTTCAATTACTAAACTGACTGTCACAGTTACAGGCGCCGGTGGAATTAGTTTCATTTTATCCTGTGTTTTATTATCTAATTCGTCTTGGATTCAGACTAATGACTTTAGAATTTGAGCTGGCGTCATAACGGCCGTGGCGCTCCATCAGACTGGAGTTTCTTTGGGACACGACGGTGGATGCCACCAAGTATCTCAATAAGTGAGGTTTTTGGAAAGTGGCCACAGAGAGAGGCACTCAGGCTGTAGATTTTTGACAGCACCGTGGGGGATTGTGTCTCTTCTCCTTTGATGATTAATGTTGAGTCTCTCTAACAGTAAACGTACTCAAGTATAAGTCATGCTGTATAAATCTTCCCTACAATGTCTCAGCCAGGTTTCCTAACAATGCTATGTTTGCGCTGTCACCATAAGATGCTGTTAATGGCTCAGTAAGAGGTTTTTTATGCATTTTTTAGGGTGGAACTTTGTCATCTTTGGATCATCTGAAACTTTTTCTACTGCTATTAATGCCACGATGACTGATGAAGCAAAATCCCATTAAGGTTTGTATGCAGATTAGAGCATAATTTAGTTGCTAGAGTGACTCAATGTCAGGAGAAAAATTTATACAAGTACAAGTATACAAATCAATACATATGACCATAGCTATAATCGCCTGGATTGATTGCAGGAAAACCGAGGAATTGCTCACTTTTTCATTCAAACAAATTGATGAGACAAGTGAGGAAAGGTGTACGCCAGCGAGAATCTTCTGAGGTGGATTATGGACCATAAGAGCTTGCAGATCAATAGGGGCTAAAGCTGGGCCTGGCTCACTGTCCATAATGTGATGTGCATACAATCAATACCCTCCCCTAAGCGGGGGGTGGACTTTTAGTGCGGTTCAGGTTATTTTCCTCACCCACAACACTGTTGTCTTCCATCCTACAAACGGGATGATGTGGATGTGCAAAGATAAGGTGATGAGGGGAGTGGGATGTCACTGAGCGACCACAAGGTTGACGTCTCGTGACAGGGCGTTTAGTGAGGAGTTAGTCCATCCTGATGATTGTTTCCTGTGGGAACTGAAGAGGAGGGAAGATGAAAGGCAATGTTCAGAATTTTAAGAGTGGTGGTGGTGGAGACAGGCGGCTGAAGATGATCACTAACTTCAAGGATGCAGACTGCTGTGAGTGAGGACATTTGTTGTGCCATTGATTTCCATATTGCGTTTCATAATGTGAAAAAAAAGGTTATTTGATTCTCAGAACATTTTGTAAAAAAATGCCCCATGTCAGAATAGCCAAGACAAAAAAGGTATTTCAAACATTATCATTATGTGAACTCCCAAAAAGAAGCCAGCCATGTGACCTAACCATGACCTGTGTCAAGTCAACTGTCCATGATGCAGCAACAAAAGAGAGGAGAAGAAACATAAAAAAAACCTAAAAGTAATTGTTTGTGTCTGATGTAAACACTGTATCATGCAGCACTGCAATGAGCAAGTAGATTTTTTCCCTCTTTCTTCAATTAGTCATTAAATATTTCGGTGGACAAACAGCTATACCAATACATTTAAAAACAAATCAACCTCAAGGGAAAAAATGTCATTATTACTGTCATCTAGTGGGGAGGCAGATGTGGCTCGGAGTTTTAGCTTCCTCTCACTGTTTGTGGGTTGTGGGAAGTAACCATTAACAACATGCCATCTCCATACAGAAAAACAAACAGTTACAGCTTGGGCTCAAATCTGTGACCTTCAGGCTGTAAGGCAAGAGCCATAACCAGCACCACTCAATGCACTCAAGTACATTTTTGAACACACTAAACCTTCATTTTGAAAGCCAACATAATGTAACACAAATACATTATTAATAGTCCTTTTTTTGTTTTCTACCTCAGCTTGTTTTGTTCTGTGCTGTGTGAATCTCTTTGAACGTCTTGACAATAATCTACACTCAAGTCGTTGACACTTGAAAACTTTTGATCACCGTCTCCGTCTTCTCCTGCTCTGTAAGCATCACTTTCCTTCTAGGTCTGAACAAAGTTACTTGGTTTTTTTTTTCCATAATGCTTTGAAAAAACGACAGCCAAAAACTTCAAGTGTAGTTTACAGTTCATAAAGAAAGTACATTGAACTTAAACTACTTACATTTTCAGGGTGTGAGCATCACACTGTTGGTTTGAGCTGGGGCTCAGAAAATCAGGGTGTTTTGACCGAGTGTGTTTTTTGGGTTTCGTGCAGTACGTTTCTTTAAACCACCACTTGAGGTGTTCAGCACTGTCCTTCAATTCAACAAACTGGGACAGAGAGGACAGTGTCCAAGTAATTGATCTATTTCACAACTCACACTCAATTACAGGAGGTCAATGTGAAACACCACAGAATTGCTCGTCCTCTCAGTCATCATCAGATGCCATTTGCTGGGCACGTGTGCTGGAAGGAGAGACGACATGGGTGTGGATCATTCTTTCTCTCCCTCTGTCTGTGTGTGGGTTCCGTTTAGCCAGCTGTTCCTGTTGCAGCTTCTCTCGCTTTAAAGTGTGGAACAGAGGAAGATTAACTGTCTCTCTGAGGCAGCGAGTGTGAAATCTAAATAAAGAGCGGTGGACATCTAAAGAATTACTTACCTTTTGTACCGCATGCTTCACTATAAACCCTTAATGCAGACCAACTATCAGCTGCGCACGAGTTGGCCAGTAGGTGAAGCAAAATAATTATCTTATACTTTCCACTGATTTGCTCTATTCTGAGTTGACCTGATGCCAAAGTGTCAGGCAAGACTGGACACAGACAGAGACTGAGGAGAGCGGGCCAAAAAGTTGAAGGGTATGCAGACACAGGGTGTCCTGACGGTGACTCCAGTCTGAGCCAGGAACCAGGCCTGAACAGTCTGCCTTATTAAGCAGAGGCATAAAGTTCCATACAGGGCCACACGGTGGAGCAATGATCAGAATAACAAGAATATAAATGGATTGAGGCTGAACAAATAATTTTTCTACATGGAGTTTGCATGTTCTCCTCGTGTTTGGGTCGGATTCTATCTTGGTATTCCGGTTTCCTCCTACAGTACACATATGTGCAATGTTAAGTTGTTCATTTTAAACTGACCGCTGGTTTGACTGTGACAAAGGATGTTTGTTTGTCTGTGTATGAGGCCCCTATGACGGACAGCCTACGAACAATGACGGCTCCTGACGGGTTAAGCTGCAAAAAGATGAATTATCTGAGAGACTTTTGTAACTCTCATTTGACTTTTCTCCACAGTGTCTGACCTACACACGACGCAAATTCCTTCTTGCTAGTGTGATATAGTCTAATTTAAGGAAATGGAGGAGTGTGTCGATCAGGACTGCGCTGTATAAATTTGTGCAGGATAATCAGTCTGCTCTGAAGCTTAATGATCTCTGTGATTAGTATTCTGAATGTCTCTTTTCCCAATCTTAACTGAGACTCTTCAATCTTTGTTCAAGAGATTTTAATAGCTTATGTTTCGCTCAGCTCATCAAAGACTTTGCACAAAAGGCAGATTTTCTTTTTTTTTCTTCCCCTGCAGTAGTTGTAACTGAGGATATTTTACAGAGTCCTTATAGTTGAAGGCAGAAGTTTTGTTCTCTGAATCAAGTTCATAATCAATCAAAATCAATTTGTAGGTTGAATAACTTTTGCCATACACACACACACACACATATATGCGTATACATTTCATACATACATACATACATTTACATATCTATGATAAGATTTGCCAAAACCAAGTAAGACGTAAATTCTAAATTCGAATTAAAAATACTATACTAATTTGTGAGTCCATCACAAATAACAAATAATATCAGTGAAAACAATCCAGTGCTATCCAGGACAGACTTCAGAGGGATTTTGTTGTTTATGTTGGCACAGAACAAGAAGAATTCACCAGCCGCATTCAAATTGCCACAAAACAATGACAGCAGCACTGAGTTGAGATCCACACCAGATCCTGACACAAACACGCAGCAATGCTGTTTGAGGAATACTGAGGCATAGATCATGTGCCAGAATGTAAAACGTTTCCTGTTAGACCAGCAAAGTTAAATATTGACCTTAAAAAAATACGTGACTTCTTCTCAACCACACATCACCGTTTCCTGCAGGGCGTAGCGCTCGTTCAAACACCCGTTTTCTAAATGAGTGTGAGAACATCTGAGGACAGATTTAATCTGTTAATGTCAGTCAATTCCTGGTCAAGGTACAGAGCTGGAGTTGAAAGAGAGCCGCATGCGGTGCTCACCTCACAGGATTATGCAGGATGTTCTTACCCTTGGCCCTTTTTGAAGAGGAGGCACAAGATACAATAACAGGATCAATTCAAGAACAAACCAAAGTTCCCAGAAACTTTTCTGCACTCGTTTTATACAATGATAATGCACAGTGTTGTAATTCAAAACAGTCGGATGGAGTTTTAGACTGATGCCAACAGGTGGAGCCAAAATCTTTTTATCAATTATGGAGAGGATCATATGAAAGTGCAGTTCTGTGCAATATTTCCAAAACAGAGTTCTAGCAGAGGTCCATGCCCATGTTTAATATTTGGCAACTTTATACAGATTAATATATTTGGTTTTCAATATATGAAACAAGAATATTATTTCCTTTAAAGACCATCTAAACAGTATTAGATTAACAAGTAGGCTGTGCTGTAAACACCTTTATGGCTCCAGTCAGTTCTCAATGGTTCCTCTGGTAAATGTAAATCAAAAATAATGAATGTATCATTTTGTGTCCTAATTACTTTTTTTCTCCTGTGCTTTCTTTGCAGATTCTCGCCATCATCTCAATCCTCTTCATCGTCCTCTCCACCATCGCTCTGTCTCTCAACACTTTACCAGAGCTCCAAGTCATAGACGAGTTCGGCCAGGTCAATGACAACCCGAAGCTCGCCCACGTGGAGGCCGTGTGTATTGCCTGGTTCACCATGGAGTACGTCCTGCGATTCCTCTCCTCTCCTAATAAGTGGAAGTTCTTCAAAGGCCCGCTGAATGTCATCGACCTGCTGGCTATCCTTCCTTACTACGTCACCATCTTCCTGACGGAGTCCAACAAGAGTGTGCTGCAATTTCAGAACGTGCGCCGAGTGGTGCAGATCTTCAGGATCATGAGAATATTGAGGATTCTGAAGTTAGCCAGGCACTCAACAGGCCTCCAGTCTCTAGGGTTTACCCTGAGGAGGAGCTACAACGAACTGGGACTTCTTATTCTCTTTCTTGCCATGGGCATTATGATATTTTCCAGCTTAGTTTTCTTTGCTGAAAAGGACGAAGATGCTACCAAATTCACCAGTATCCCTGCTTCTTTCTGGTGGGCAACCATAACCATGACCACAGTTGGCTATGGGGACATTTACCCACAGACTTTACTTGGAAAGATTGTGGGGGGGCTGTGTTGTATTGCAGGAGTGCTGGTAATTGCTTTGCCCATCCCTATTATTGTGAACAATTTCTCTGAGTTCTATAAAGAGCAGAAGAGGCAGGAGAAAGCCATCAAGAGGAGGGAGGCGTTGGAGAGAGCGAAGAGGAACGGCAGCATAGTGTCAATGAACCTCAAGGATGCCTTTGCTCGCAGTATGGAGCTGATGGACGTGGTGGTGGAGAAAGGAGATGACAAACACAACCTTGATAACCACCTGTCACCAAACCGCTGGAGTGGCTCAACCAGGCACGCAACCTCTGAACTCAATCTCAAATCCCCTGACAAAAGAAACCCAGAGTCCCTGCCCCAAGGTTCTCCTCAACGTATAACCATCACCACAACTGGAAGTCCACAGAGGATGAGCAGAACCCCGCAGCACCTAAATGTCCGGAAACTGGAGGAGATGTACAACCAAATGACCAAGTCACAGTCCTTCACTAACCTGAACACTACGAGCTCCATGAGCACCCTGAGCACAACCATGACAGCCCCTGGCTCCCCAAAGAAGTCTCACAATCCTGAATACACGTTAAACGAGGAGGTAGAGCTGGAAATGAAGGAAGTTAAATTGTCCTCACCACACAAGTTTGCCAGTTCCTCAGCAGGTCTTACAAAACAGGGCTACAACTCAGGTGAGGAACATGCAGGTCCATGTCAGATAAGACACCCCAGGGCACCACCATTTTTCAGCAACAATAACTCGAGGTCTCCTCGCATCAAACAAAAGAATGGCCTCTACGAATCTGTCAACACAGGTGATGAAGCGGAGCTCCATGTAGACGAAGGGGAGAGCTTCATCAGTGCTGTGGAGAACATTCAGAGTTCTCCAAGAGGGAATAACCCACTCAAAATAAAGGGGTTGAAGGTCAACTATTCCAGAACCTCTGCTGAAGGCCCGCTAACACCGCCAAGCACTACCTCTCATGGAGACATCAGCTCCAGCATTTTGGAGGAGTCGCCAGAGGGAGAGATGTCTTCGCTCATTGCCAGCTCAGAAGAGCTCCTCCCCATCTCAAAAGAGGAAACCTGCCCCTTGTCCCCTAAAAGGCTGGTGGTGGACACTCCACCTGGAGATGAAGATCCATCTGGGGAGAACCACGAGGAGAAACATCTGATGGACATGGCTGGAGCCGCAGGTGCACCACTGTCACCCAAAACAGCAGCACAAAATTGCAACCAAGGAGTAGCTGAAGCCGGAGAGGAAGTGAAATCTGACAGCAACCAAAGTGGACACAAAGCAGAGAACCACATGTTTACATCCGACATCCACCTGATGCCCGGGGAGGGCAGCCTATCTCCCACCTGTGAAACCAGCATGTGACAATAGGGGAAGCCATTAGGGACAAGAGACCCACTCAAACCTCAACCCAGTGTGCGGGACAGCAGCTCAAAGGTGCAGTGAAAGATATTTTTGCATGGCATGACAAGACCCTTTTACTTGTGTTCTTGTGTACTGCGGAAAAAGGAAAAGGCACAATTTTTGTGCAAATGCAAGAGAGACTCTGAAACTAGCAGTGGACTCTACAAAAAACAGAAGGAATTTATCATCTACTGCAGACATGGTGGTCCTCACAGTGTACATACTGACAGTCTCCTTTTTTAGATTAAAAGGAGAAATGCACAGAGGGACTTATCTGTAAAAAGCATGCATTTAAAAAAAAGACAAGATATTTTACGGTGCTTAGTTTACTGAAAGCGCTCCCCTGTAAATACTAAGACAACTATGGCAATGACAATGCACAGGACGGTAAAGGAAACCTAATACTGAAGGTACAACTATTTGCAATGTGAAAAAAGGGAAGAGAGGAGGGGTTGAACAGAGAGCCCTCATAACGACGTTGCATCGTAGCGACTTATAAGAAAAAACATATCATTACCTTTTGTGGAAATGCAAAGTGTTCCCATGATGACCCTATAATGTTATTTTTTTCTTTTTTGTGTGAAACTGCTATATGAAATCTGTAATGTTGACATTATTGCTTTTACATTTTTTGTTGTTGTTGAATTACTTGATGAGTTGTTGAAGTTTCAGATATATATCAATGGAGAAAGGTGGCTGTTTTGAACACACGCAGCCCTGTTTTTAATGTGATAGTGTCGTCAGTAAGACAAAAATACAAACTTTGTTTATTATTAGCCTGTCCTACAAACACAACTCTTGATCAACATACTAGCTTAACAGAAAAGGCTAACTGTTTGGCCATGATTTTGTCTTGGAAGATACTTAAAATATCATTACAGATGCTACGCAACATGAAGTAGTTTGTTGTGAGACACTTGCCTATAGTCAAAGCTAGTGTTTTTTAATAGCCCGGTCAGATGCCTGTAATATTATTCTGACTTCACCGGTATTGAAGTAATCGCAGTAACCAGTGTTAGTAACAGTCTAGAATCTCCTACTTTGTTCTAAATGCTGAGTAACACATTTTAATGTATTGACAAAAAAGGGTTTTGGGGGGTCCTGGCCTAAAGTTGGTTATATTTAGAGGCACAGGTGCTGTCTGTATAAACACCTAATGATCTTCTTCACAATATATGGGTTAGTAATAGACTGTGGTGTCTCATTAGAAAACCTCATGTTGCAAGGCATTTGTAAGAATGTTTTGTGCGAGCTTGGCAGTGCAACAGTAAACAAATACGAACCTAAGTAGGTAGGACAACTAGGCCTGTCTTGGACCAAACCTTGACTTTCTTTCTACTGAAAGATATTTTTGTCATATTAAACAAGAGCTCAGTGTGTTAAAAACTGCCACATTCTTCAAATTATAAACATGGGTGAATGCAAAAACATGCATTTCCCAAAAAAAGGGTGTGACCAGCGAGGACAGGAAGTATCAGAACACTAGAAATATTTATTATCTATTTCAGAAGTTAAATCACGGTTCAACATGTTTCCCTCCCTGTTGAGCCTTTTTATTCTACTCAGCAGAACAGAAGTAAACCTTATCTACTCACTCCAACAGCGAATATATACCTACTATACGTTTTATAAATACCACGTAGATTAAGTAGCTCTAGAATGGGAATATGCTTTAGGTTTACAAGACTTGGTACACAAGTTCACACAATTTAAGAATTCAGCACAGTAGAACAAACCGTGAAAACACGTACAAAATACGCTTTACACTACAAGTAGCTGCGTTGGTAACTCCAAAGGACAAAACTACCACAACAATACAACATTTCTTGTGATGTCAACGGACCAAATCAAGCACACTGACAAGAGTTTATCTATTTTAGTGTAATTACATATACACTAATATCAGTATACAGTACCAACAGTGTTTACCATCAGTAAACAATGAAAGCAGTGATGTTTCTTTTTCTTATGGTTTCTATACCTGCATTGTGTTCATTGTCAAACAAATATATATATATATATTTATATATATATATATAAAACCCTCAGCCCCCTGTTGTCATTGGATTCATACTACTGCAATTTTATCCTGCTGACTGAAGTTTAAGGCGTTTATTATTTTAGTAATTTATTGTGTTTTCTTGATTTTTTTACAAACCTTTTTTTCAGTAACATCAAAGCCAAACAGTTTTTTGGCTCATCACTTATTAAGCTTTCGTTTCTCTCTCTGACTGAACAATGATTTGTTTTACGTTGTCTTCAACTTCTGTTCGGTTTCTGGAAGCTGTTTTCTTTGTTTCTCGTTTCAGCATGACACCTGGAGTAAATATGTAGTTTTTCTGCCAAAGCTCCACGACCCTGAACGGTACTGACAAGACACTTTTCTTTTCTTTTCTTTTTTTTCTTAATACTATTATTATTACAATTGTCTTTTTTTTCTCACAGAGAGGTGTGGAATGTGCAATACCGCATACTGCAATCTATGCAGGCCAAGAATTGTGGCACTTTATTTTATGTCTATGGGAATTTGTAAGTGTACAGGCAGAAATTACTTGTATTTTTCAAATGTTATATCTGTAATATAAGACAAAACAGTATTACAACCACCGGAATCTAAGAAAGAAATTCAATTGATATTTATTCTTTTTGGTTTTTTTTTCTGATTCATTTTGCTGGCATCATGTACCTGAATGCCACATATATCTGGATTTCAAATTTGATTATCTGTGGAAGTAGGAATCCAAATTGACCACTTTGGGCCTTTTTTTATTGCGGTTAGATATACACATAGGTCTAACACATATCGGTGATGCAGATAATCTAACTTCAATGGCCACACACAATGGAGTTTATGTTTTTTGTGACTTAATGTTGAGAATGATTCTATTTTTTCTAAACCAAAATAGAGCACGACCACAATTTCCTGCCATACGGTGGTTGAAATGAAGCGTGCCTTTTCATAACGATGCTGTTTATGAAAAGGTAGCGAGTCATTTTGCTTTGTTCATATAGCACTGTACAGAAAATTCTAATTTTATAGGAGAAATCAGGTCTTTATGTAATAGATACAAATAATGTTGTTGAGTTCTCAGGTTTTCTATAACTCTCTGATGTTCTGATTGGATAGATTTGTTGTTTTCCTTTTTTCTTTAACAGCTAATGTCAACCAGTAACTTCTGTACTTTTTGAACGGTGATGTTGTCAAATTTATGTCCATTGTCTTGGCTCCCGGATTCAGGAGAGGCAATATTTCTCCCTCCTCCTGGGCAATCTGTGTACCACATCCAGTATCCATGGCCATCAGTCATCAGTGAGGCAGGAAGGGGCACAAGTGAAGGGTGGGTTCAAAACCCAGAAACAAAAACTCCATTTCCAGAAAAGTAAGTTCACTGATTAATAACAACTACAAGTTAGCTTTATATTGTACTTGAATTTTGATGATCATACAAAATTGTGTGAGAATTTTTTGAAAGGGGACAGATCTGGACAGAGGTTTGGTCTCTAAATGTCTTTGAAGCCATATTTTTGTAAAGCGTTGCAGAAGTGTTGTGCATCGTTTTAAATGTGTAAAAATGCATTCAAAATGTTTAGCTAAAATCCCCAAATGTTAATTTTGACAGGCCCAATGTATGTGTATGTAGGTATATATGTATGTATTCTGTAAATATACACATTTATATACATATATTTAACTGATAAAGCTTTGTTAGCTACGTATGACAGAAAAATTCAGTGAACAGCAGCAACTGTCTGGAAATGGAGTTTGTTGACAGTGGGAGATTGGTGAATGAAACTAAATTGACCCAGACAGTTAGAGATCCCAACTGTCACTTAACTCATCCATCCGATTATTTCTATACTGACAATTCTGTGCTCCAGTTCCTGCCGCTTCTGACACTCTGACCCCCATAGCATGCCCCCGGGCACGGTGATAAGCCGGGAAGATATAAAGAAACACTGTGAGAAGAAAAATAGTCCCAAACGATCATTTCACATCTGTTACGGTGCACTTTTGCTTGAGTCTGTGTTTTCTGCTGTCTGCCCAGGCCCACATCATTGGAGTCAGTAACGGGAGAATCCTCTGAGAGTTCATTGAGTGGTCTTTGTAACATGATGGATCCCTCTATTGTACACTGCAAAGCATAATGATGCAGGGTCACTACTTGTCTGTACCTATGCATTCATTTCTGTTCTCTCATCTATTGTTTGTATCTGTCATGTCTCCATGTTGCCCTTGATTAATCCTTCATTTTGACAGCTCGGCGAGAGAAACTCGGGATTTTGATTGATGGGCTACATCCTCTTGGGATGACGTTTGTGTGCATCCTGCAATTAATCCAGTGAGCTGACAGTGAAAGAACCGTGCGCCGTCTTATTCTCTCACAATGACATTATCACCTGTGATACTGTGCAAACACTGAGTGGAAAAGTTGTGTATTTATTTTCTCTGAGAGAATTGGTATTTTCCGTGTCACTTGTGTGCTTATGAATCCTTGCTCCCTGAAGTAACACATGAAGCTGTATTTTTCCTTTCTTTGTGTCTCTGTGTATTCTGCTTCTTACATTTTTGAGTTGTTTGAGTTTCTCTGTTCAGCGTCAGAGAACATTATCATGAGACACACTCTGAGCTACAGACTGTTTCTGTACAAAGCGACATCTTCGTATGCATGTAGTTGTCTGAACAATTATGTGACCACAGAACACTTTGTTATGGTACATGTATGTCGACATTTCTGCATTGTTCCCCATTACATCTACTAGCATATGCAGAATAACAAATAAATGTGTATATAACTTATGTCATGTGTGTGAGCTTGTGGTTTGTGCTCTCTGCTCCACAAACAATCTCATTACTTGAGCATGGCTACTTTTTTCCAACATTAGATTAGATCATTACATACACGCTTATTAATCATCTCTACATAGCATTAATTAAACATGATGCTGCATTTGCTGCAAGGGAGTATGAGATGTACAGTCATAGTTGAAAGTGCAGACATTGCAGCAATCTGGCATGAGTGGATGATAAATGATTTATCAGTTGAGGGAAATGTATCCCATTCCATTAGATGCAATTAATGGATCTCCACTTTTCTCTTGTGAACCGCCACCAAAAGTGATCCATAATATAAACAAAGTACTCTCACAAAGAGAAGACGTAACATGTAAAGTATTTTCCGTGGGGAAAATAATTTGTGATGTTTTAAAACAAAAAATGAGTAGCAATAACACCAGTTATAACACCAAAACAAATATGGTAAAAGATAAGATAAAACAATGTTTAGAAATTGAAAGTTAAGCAAAATATTTTTAAAAAAGCTATAAAATACTTGAAAGATAATTCGAGGTTGTAAATAAAGAAATTTGATGATTAGCCAGCATTTGCTAAAAGTCCTATCAAGATAGTCAAGAAAGTCAGCTCATAGAAAGTTCTGCGTTGGACACTAGGGAAGGCAAGATTTTTACCAAGCTTCAAGAGAGAAAAAAAACTATATGACTCAACCAACACAGCAAAAACAGAGAAAGAAATTGAAGAAATGTTGAGTATCTTTTAACACTGCGGTATTAAGATACGTGTGTTTGATTGGGCTACAAGATAAATGTAGCTCTGCTGTGATTACACCTCCTGACCACCAGAGGACACTGGCAAGGCAAACGCTCAAAAAAAACAACCGCCCGCGGAAATCAAACTCATTTTTAACAGGAAGAACATGAACCACCAAAACGTAAACATGGAAAGTAACAACATAAAAAGTGAGAAGGAAACTGACTTAGAGCAAAACAATGTAGAAGAAAGTGTATGTTTTAAAAAGGTCGCACGTGTAGCTACAGACTGGATGCTGGATTTCATGTTTCTAAAGCTTTGTCGCCACTTCAAAGAGCAGAAGTTCGAAGAGTTCAATCAAACGCTCGCGGTTTTCGAATGTAAGTAACGGACGAAGAAATCCACACCTGCTCTAACGTTTGGTTTGTCAAAAGAATCGTGCCATCAAATACATGTTTTCTCATGTCTATCTGCAGCCGATCGGCAGCTTGCTCAAGAATTGCACAAATGCTGCAGATTTGATACTTTTATGGTTAACGTTGTTTTTTGTTTTGTTTTGTTTTTCACCAAAACTGTGTTTTTAGCCATGTCTGTAAATTCACCATTGAATGGAGACCGTCGTGCCGAGAAGACGCTGATATCTGCTTTCCTCGCAAGAGTCATGCATGGAAAAGAGCTGGGTAGGTTGGAATAAAATGCACACACATATTTTAAACGTATTGCGTTACCGTTGCAAAATCTCACAACAAGTAAAAGTAGGGATTGTTGTAAACAAACTTACCTCAGGTGTGAGTCTAATTTACGGAGGTCGCCATATTGAATAACTCGGATTTCTACGCAGGAGACAAATTAAATACACCTGGTATATCCGTCCAGGTGGTTCTCCCACAACATATAACACGTTTTTACCAATCTGTGTTTTAAAATCATACACTGATACTTTAAATTGCAATATGTGAAATCTGACTTAACCTTGAACATATGTTAATACCCTTTTTATTTTATTTTGTTCGTTATTTTTGTGGGTAGTAATATTTTACATTGTCCCACTCCAGGCCACAAGATCCAAACAAGTAAACGTTTATTTGTTGTGACACACCATTCACATTGGTGTTGAGTTAATTCATTACAATTATTAGTTTGTTCTTTTTAATGGTGAATCTCTGTGGCAGATGAAGTAAAAGTGATGTTGATCATTCAAAATGGTTTAGTAAAAAAAAAAATCTGTTGTCACTAGTGTTTGGTTTGTACTGTCTGTCTCCAGACTGCCGATTTGATGATGGGGATGACTGTGTGATGCCTCTGATGTCAGCTTCCACGATATGGCCAAAACTACAAGACGCTGTAGCAGATGGAAATGTATTTAAAAACATAACAATTCTTCTTTTTGTCCAGGTAAGCCCACTGTGTGCTGTCTTTTCTTTTCTAATGCATTCTACTGATGGGGAATAATGTGTGTGGTATTTCACAGTGACATATTTAAAAGCTGATGTTTTCATAGCTTTAACAATCCTGAGAAATAATCAAGAATAAGAGCCCAGCTTTTTGTTGTGTTCCTCAGTCTGTAGCTGTGTGCTTGGAGAAAGACCAACACAAATCTGCCTCCTCTGCCCTCAAGTGGTTCGACAATAACCTCGAGCTCCCAAAGGTTTGTATGTACATTATGCTGTCTTAAAGAAAACACACAGATACTTTAATATTTCATTGCCAAGTGGGATTTTGTGATAATGGGTTGCAGCTTTTCTCTTTCTTTGACAGAATTTGGCAGTAAAAGTGGCAACTGTAGTATCACAAAGGAAAACTTACCACCCATTACTAACGACCTTCAGCTTCAACCACTTGCTGGCATCCGTCCAGTCTTTTTTGGATGCTTACTTGGAGGAAAATCCCTCCGATTACCTTCTAAAGGTACACAGAGTGACACAGTATGTGTAAAACAAATACTGTTACACCTTGTACAAACATCCACATGTCACAATAATCTGAATCAATAATGTCCAAACTAGTGTGCAACATTAGCTGTAGGGCTGTAATCTCCCAGTCGACTGGTCGATTTATTGGTCGATACGTTCTGACTCGAACAGACAGATTGAATAACAGACAGAGAAAGAAAGCATTGGTCTGGTGGTTTGCTTAATAATTATTTAATTTCAGTCAGGATTTCACAGTTTCAGTCGACCAAGACTTTCTTTGGTTTATTACAGCCCTAATTAACTGGTTTCCATTGCAAGTGAACAAATAGAGAAAATAGATTCAATTGTCTGTGTGTTGAAGTTGGTCTGGTCTTTGCTCCTGTTCTTGGTGACCTGTCCAGGTGACAGTTTTAATGTGCCTCATCAGTCAGTGAATAATTGGCAGTTTGTCATCAAATTAATTGCAAGGGCAAACTGCTGTGCACTGCAGAGTCCTGGGGGTTTAACTCACCCTCAGTTATTCATGCGAGTTCCAGCAGTGAGTCACACACAGACCAATGACCAAGGTTAGACTTGAAAGGGTTTTGTAATCACAGGCTTCATTAACTTCCCTGTACAATACCTGCACCTTGTCAACTTATGAATGTCACAAAAAAGGAATTTTATTTATGGAAAATATTTGCCTCTCCAACTTTTAGGAAGCCACAAAGGCAGCATCATCGTCAAAGAACTGTGGGGATTTGAAAGACTCGGCAGATGAGGACACGTCTGAAACAGCCAACATATCAGATAAAGAGCCGGATAAAAAGTAAACATGTTTACCCTGGAAACAAGTTATATTTAGTGAAATGAAAACTATTGTCAGTCTGTACCGTTCTGAACACCACGTGTTTCCTTTTAGGCTCACCAAAGAAAATCGGAAAAAGAATTTGAGGTCAGTACAAACAGGCATACAAATTCTACTTGTGGAAGTAGAAACTTGGAAGTAGACTTGTGGAAAGCTGTCGTGAGGATGAATTAATTCAATATCTAGTGAATTAATCTACATATAATTTTAGAAATAGACTGACAACTTTTGTTTAATATAGACATGTACCTCCTGTTTTTGCCTTTAAGACTTTCTAGTCTCTTAAATACATTTCACATTTGGTTAAAAAATCACTGGTATCATGTTTGCTAAATACAATAAGACAAATCATGTTCAATAATTGATCAAACCTGATCAAATTCTTCCATGAGATTAACCAAGAAAATAATAAACATTATTTGCATCCGTTGTAGCCTCAGTATCATTAAGTGACATATTTCTTGGGGTAACAATCCTTGTTGCATTTACATCATTTCCGCAGAACAAAACGGAGTCTTATGTCAACAAAAATAACCAATCTCTGGCTGCCTGATTCGCCTTATTTGAAAAAGCCATGCATTTCTGTCAAAAGGCTCTCAGAGGAAGGTGAGATTTTTCACCTTGAATTGTGCATAGAGAACACAAATGTTTGGTGTTTACATTCATAAAAGTTAAAATATGAAATCCTTCTCCTGCAGAGATAACGCTGGTAACATCACCAAATAAAATGGAGGAGACAATGATCAGCAGGAGAAGAGGGAAGAAGGTAAGCTGAGCCTCAATTCCCATTGAATTCTGTGTCCAATTAATGAATTCCAAATCAAGTAGACAAGCAAGTGTCGCCTTTCATTTGTTTAGAAATGGACGCCAGGGCTCGACCAGTGTCTCATCGAGGGGGTGAAACGTCATGGTGTTGGTAAGTGGGCTAGGATTCTGTTAGACGACGACTTTGAAGGACGCACAGGGACAATGCTGAAAGACCGCTGGAGGGTTTTAGTAAAACTTCAACTGGACAGTTAGCGAGGAGAACGGTGACCATGACTCTGGAATTTGTAAATGAAATGTCTTCAACGTTCCTTTGTATAATAAACATTCATTTGTGTTTTACTTTGAAATACCAGTGTTCTAAAGAAGGAAAACAACCACAGACCGATTTCAGGTTTGCCTTTCAGTTGATTTGAAACATTTGTTGATAATTTTTTTTTTGTTTTGTTTTTGTAAATAATGTTTCAAATACGTTTTTCTTTATTTCAAAATTATGATAAATAGCATTTATAGATATTGACTTTGATATATCTATTTTTCTTTAAATAAAAATTATACATGCTTTACTGATGTTTGCATCACCTCTTGTTGACATGAAGAAATACTGTATTGTCACATAATATGCTGCTATTGAAATACTATGAAAATAAATGAAGTGTATAAGAGACTTATCCAAATGCATATTGCACCATTATTAAGTGTAAAGTCTCTCAGTAAGAAGAGCCTGGGGTTTGTAAGCCAGTGAGGCTTAGACAGTGTGTCCGCAGTGAGACTTAGCTGTTGACTCCACACCAGAGCAGTCTGGTTTGGATCAGATGAAAACAAAGCTGTGTTGTGGAGGACAGTCACAGGCACCAGTTTTCTGAATCTTCTTCCACGTTCCACGACACCGAGGGTTCCCCACCGCCTCCCAGTGGAGCACAGCTTCTCTGCAACCACAGTCAACAAATAAGTAAAAAAGGAAAAATGATGACAGCCACTATTGAAAAACAACAATACATTACATTTAAGGTGAAATTCTTTTCATCACATACATTCATCTTTTTAAGACATTGGCATAAAGTTAAAAGATACAGCAACACAATGTCTTTATAAAATCCAAGTGAAGACATTAGCCCTTTAAGATCTAAAACAGATGAATGGTTTACAGTGTGGAGTTCCACAAGGATCTACTTTAGGTTGTTTGCAGATGTAAAGCATTTCCCTATTGCTGTCTTGTTTTGCATTTCAAAGGTGGGGACAATCTTTAATTGATTGGCTGCCATTCTCAGAGGAACATTACCCCCGCCCACATCTGTCCTTGTGCGTACAAATACCTCCAACTTGAACTTTGCTAAAAGAAGGTACAAAGGAAGCTACATAACTTCATACTTGTCTGATTCCTGACCGTCTCCATGGCAGAAGCTACTGTTGTTTCTCATGGCGGGAGGCTCACATGCCACACACACTTTAAATCCTTCTGTTATGTAGCGCATCCAAAGAGTGTGGGGCCGGTTCTCCACAGTGCAGTGGGGCGTCCGGGACTGCAGCGTGAATTCCACACAGAAGCTTAAAAAGAGCAGAAGCAGAGCAGGTTAGTGTCAGTGGGTCAGGTTAGAGGCCATGAACCTGTCGTTGATGGAGGGTGTTGTTGTTGTTGTTTTGATATAACATTGATAGAGAAACTTTTCACAGAAATTGATACACTGTAAATACACAAATGTAGTATAAACGCAAGTACATTTAGGCTCCGAGGCATCACCACGAAGAGCTGCTAAAGTGTGTCGGTGGCAGACAATATTTGACTAACTACTGATCTGCTGAGAGGTTTTGAATCAGTTCTGGAGGCAGATAGGGTTCAAGCCAGGTAAACGGCCAGTACCAGTACAATCATCTATGCCCACAATGCATCACTTTCTGTCATCCAAACCTTTGTGCTTGTGCCTTTCATGTGACCATTCATATTTCAAAGGGCTGTCAGCAGCCACTCTGAGCGCTGCCTTATGTAACAGTCTGCGGACAGACAGGCAGGTGTGCAAACACCTACGGCATGGTTGCTGATGCAGCTGGAGTTTAGAAAGAAAGAAAGAATAAACCTCACGCTGTTGTCTTTCTCTTTGCCAAATGGTTTGTATTTCACAGCCTAATGCTTTGCCTGGCGGCACTACTGAACTCTTCAACTCTTGAATTTGAAGGAGCATCTGAGGTTTGGTGCAGTCTCAGAAAACTCTGAGGGGTTTTGTAATAAAGGCAAAATGATATGAAACCACCTACCCGGGCTCCAGGGGGTTTCCATAGTTGTCATGCTTAGGCCTCCTCCTGCCAAACTCCATGCTGGTGATGAACGCAGGACCTGACAGGACAAACCAATCCAGTCATTTAATCACTTCAGGTTTGACAAACAAGACAAAACTCACCCTGTCTGTCTGTGTTTGTGGTTGTATACCTGTGTTGAGTCCACAGTGGTTGCCATGACGATCTCTGTACTCCCTGCAGCCGGCTTTTTGCTCCAGACCAGGACATGGTTTTCCACTGTTACTAGGCGGCTGCTCCACATGACGGACACGGACTCGCTCCGAGGCCTGGCAGTTTTTTTTACAACCGCTCCAAAAACTCCAGTCGCTCACTGCACAGTCCTGAGCTGCATGTTAGCACCCATAATGAGGCGGGGGGAAACGGGGGCAACAACAACATTACAGGATATCCTCTGTGATATCAGACAATCAAAATGTCATTAAGATCTTAGATGTTAAAAACAGAAGTGGTAACAGCTGATGAAATATGGAATATTTGTTTTTGTAATTTTGACAGTTTAAGTTTTATCATACTTCAGAAGAATATTCCAGGCTTTCTGGAAATAAGACAATATTGAACAAACCATTTCTGCTGAGCTCAATGTGTTTTTGGAGCAACAGAATGTGATTTCCATTGCAGCTCCTGTGTTTCTTTAAGGTATTAGACACGCGGGTTTAGCGACTATCAGACTGTAACACATATCGAGCATGTGCGGCTCATTTGGCTGGAACTGTAATCGCTGCTAACGGATCGACGGAATCACATTCCTAAAATATTTAGACTAATTCTGTTGCGTGGGCCAGTGCTTTGAAATGAGGTTGGACACAAAGCATGTTTGGTCTGCAGCTCATTGTTTCTCTGAGTCCCGGCCTTTGTGCTGCAATCACCACGCGCGTTAGGTGGCAGAGAATGCAGGACAAACCACACACACGACACGGCCCAGTCTGACAGGGCCTGTGTGACCACAGGGCACATGTCCAGGTTCACGTGCGTGCAAACATGTTGGCATCTGTCATCACGGTCAATGAGGTGTTTATCTTTGACGAACAGATTAGCAGGTCATTTTTACTACAGCATCATAAATTCAAGGTGTGTGCAACCGAAACGACCGACTCAGAGCCCACCGCCAGATTCCACTCTCACCTGGACATTCAGTGAAGTAGTCAAAGCAGCAGTCCTGGGTCTTAACACAGCCTTCGTCACAGTAGCACGTCCCATAAACGCGGTCCATCCTCCAGTCAGTGGTGGAACAGGTCATATCTCTGCCTCTGCAGCATTTGCCTGAACAGCCTCCAGATACCAGGAAGTTCTTTCCCAGCGCAGAAACCACCAGGAGCAAACAGGTCAACTCCACGTGGGATGCCATGTCGGGAGCAGAACTCGCCTCAGAATGTTACCGGAAACACTTCTCTAGTCTGATGTCAGGCTCATGGCTGTGAGACTTTGGAATACCAGCACAGGCCGACTCTGTTGTACCACAGGAACCTTGGTGACCTGGAATTCCTCTGCCTGCCTCCTGCGTCCACTCCAACAGTCTTTCTTTCCCAGAGACAGGTCTTAAAAGCAAACTAAAGACCAAGAAACCCCATTCCAGATCTGCTCACAGTCCAGTGTCTCTCATGTTGTGTTTTCCTCAGTGCTCTCTCTCTCTTGCTCTCCCTCTCTCTCCCCCGGTCCTCACTGAGCACCTCCCTTCAGCCGATCACACACACGGTAAGAGACAATGAGGACATGGGAGGAGTGAAAGCCGCCCAGCGTTTTCCCATGCTTCTGTTCGTCCTTCTCCTCCTCACCTGGATCCTTCTTATCCACCTTTTTGCTTTCGTACCACAGCCGTGCAGAATTACACTGACCCTGGTGCCACTCTTGCCAACCTCCAGACCTCCAGTCCCAACAGAATGGGTAGGAATGTGAGCCGTTGGCAGGTCTCCAGTCAGTTGTGCCAAGGGGGCCTCGCTGTTTTGTTGTGAAGCCCCCACCTCCTCCCCCCAAGGCTCTCACCTCTCTCACTTTTCCTCCTTCAAGTTCATGTGTAAAGACATAGGAATCTCAAGACTTTACCTGTATTCTCTATTTGAATGTGTAAATCAGTAACGTTAAACTGGCAGCTGGCTAAAGGATAGATTGGGTTACATATTTTTTGTGGGCATACAAAAGAACAGATGACCAAACATTCAGGATAAAAGTAAACCATAAATAGACAAGACTGTGAATTATTGGCCATAAAGTCTAATTTTTATATATATTGTTAAAAAACTGTTTTTTCACCGTTTGCTCCACAATGTTTGAACTTCAAAGATCACCCTCCAACTCTTTCAGAAGGAGGCCACAGCATGAAGCATGAGAGCAAAATAAAACCTGATACAGAAGAATCTAGGAATTTTTAATAATCTGGATATTTTCCTCTGGCAGACGGGGTGCTTTGATAAGTCTTGTTGGTATGCAGCATGAATACCCAGTGAAAACAAGAGGCTTCATCTCCACAAAAACCAAACGTAGAAACAGTAGCACCAAGCAGCATGTGTTTGAATCATTTGACAAGCAAAACTGTTGACTTATCTCAGGAGAAAGGAACTTAGTCAGCAAATGCAAAATTTGCCACAATTTATACTGGCAGAAAATTTAGTTTATCAAGTAAAACATGCTGTTTGCTTGATTATTCTCTTCCAAAAAAACTACATATCAACCTTTAAAAGTTTGCATCCACTCGGGCCTCATGATCCTAATTGGGTCTGTCCATTGATGCAAGATTTACACTGTGGTTACAGCACATCCAAAGTGCACATCAAAGAGTGTGTGTTTAGCATCTGACAGGCGCCTGGACCTGGACCTCCTGCTCTTACTGTGCACCTGTCACAGACTATCAGCCGTTTTCCACACAAACACAGCCTGCCTGTACTTTTACCCTCCACTCACATGTACTAAGAGCAGCAGATTAAACCCAAGTTAATGTGTCCACAGACTGTTTACAATCTTCAAAGTCCGGCTATAGCTAAAGGTTAGCAAGAGTACTTGAGCATTGCCAAAATGTATTAAAAAAGACTTAAATTAGTTCCCAAAATGTAATACAAAAATGAATATATTCAATCCTGACTGTGTAAAAAAAAATAGACTACAGTTGCAGGTCACATGTTCAAGAGCTCTGATTAGCTCAGTAAATACACATTAATATATGATACAAGGGGAAAAAACAGTGACTACGCAGATGTAACGCAGCATCGGTTCTTTGCTGCTCAGGAGAACCAGACCAGATTCTCAGCTCTGTCTCACCTGTATGGGGAATTTAAACTGCGTTGGTTGCCATAGTAACACCTGACCTGTGTTTCCATAGTTTCCTAATGTTTGTTGACAAGCACTAGAATTAATCTTGCAACAGGTATGTGCTTTAAAGGCAGGTTGATGATGTGACCGGGGAAACACCCTAACCCTGTTTCACCTATAGATAAATACACTATAGGTTATTCTGGAAGAAAAATGAATACGACAAACAACTCCATATTTTACATATTGGAAAAGTGACGGCGTGTAGGTAGCAGAATTAGTCAGAAATACTTAATACAAAGATGGATTAGAAGTTAGAAAACACAAAAACAACTAAACAAGGCAAGCAAGAGACTCATTAGTTGACAAAATATGTTGCCCAAATGTTGGCAAGTTAGCTTAAAAGTAGACAAATAATACGTGTTATAAGTGATTAAAAGCAGCAGAAAATATGTATATTAAAATAGCTGAACTTTAGCTAGGTAAGCAATTAAATGTTGTAGAGCTTTTTAAACAAATAAAACTAAAAGGTAACAATCAATAGATGCAAATCTTTCTGACAAAATACTCTGACAAGGGAAAATTACTTATAAATTGCTAGTGTGATATTATTTAATTTAGAAAAAGAGGTTTTAGCTGTTAAATCATTATATTCCTTTTTCTCATTGGGATTACTTTTTAATTGATTGTCTATTTTGATACGGGACCAATAAAGACCATCAGGTGGACCATATCCAACCCCTGAGCCTTATTTTTTCTTTTCTTTGTTTTACCTTTTTAACTCAGATATCTCACTGCAGTAACAAAATGAAGAGGGACGTCCAGAAAGTAAATGACGTGACTTTGAAAAAATTTAACCTTAACCAAATATTTTATTGGTTCCACCCTGTAATTAGGCTGAATGTGTTTCTTCCTGATGACTTCACTCTGTTTGTCTCATGAATGAAGTCTTTGTCCAACTTCACTTCAATTTACAGCTCATCTGTCTCCCACTTCCTTCCTCTACTCAGACACCTGTACATTAGAGGGATGTTGTTGTGTACCAGGCTGTGCGTGTGTGTGTGTGTGGGTGTGTGTATGGGTGTGTAAATGAGAGGTAATACTGTGTACATACGACCCCTGTATGGTGCCTTTGTCCATGTGTTGGTGTTTGATAATGTCCCTCGGTCTTTTATCTTATTCCTTATGAATGTCCACGGCTACAATAAAGCACAGTAAACTGCCTGAGTCATTATTTGTAGAGCGGTGAAGGTGGATGTTTGTCTTGCCTCGTGTCTTTGGATCACTGCGTTTTGCAAACTCACGACCTACGAAACAAACGGCTGCAGCCGGGCCACACTGTACCTATTAGGTACACTTTAGCAGCAGAGGATTAGACCACTCTACATCTCTCTGCTAATCATTCTTGGCATTTCGTAAAACTAATTTACAGAGAAGTTGTGGCACTCTCTGGGGCAGCAGTATTATAGACTATTATAATGAAAATTCATTTAAACTGTGGATAAAATTGAAGGGTTTTTGTATAATTCTTATGTTTAAGCTGCAACTTGAAAATAAGTCAAAATAAGGAGCAGGTGGAGGTTTTGCTGTGGAGCAAAGAGGAATGAAAGTCAAACGGCAGCTGCAGTGAAGTTTGAGTGACTCCAAGTAAATGAATGAGGTGAGGTGATGGAAAGGGTGCAGGCAGGGTGGAGCAGGTGGAGGAAGTGTCAGGGGTTGGTTTGTGAACTTTCTTACTCTTAACTTTAATACTTAATATTTAATATTAACCAATCAGACATCAGAGACCTTAGTCCCATCTCTATCTACATATAGTAATATTTAATAAAAATGTCAATATGAAAGGTCAGGGGTAGTACTTCGTTATTGAAGTTGTCACTTTTGAAGTCAATATTATCAACTTTCTAAGCAGATGAATTAACCACATTGTGATTGGCTGATCAGGAATTTGTGGTGAAGAACAGTTGAACAGGTGTAGCAGCTGTAGTTACATTACATGTCAACATCTGTGGCAGTGCCTGCTTTTAAGTGAAGATTTAACATTATTAGTCCTTAATGAGTCTCCTGCTCTTCACACCAGCACCTAGAGTAGAGTACCGCAGGAGCTGTCGTGATGAGCCATGGAGAACATCCCACTAATGACGTTCCATTCATTACAGGTCATTACTGCCTGATGGTTTAAGGAGGAGAGCACACTTCTGCAGAGAGGCCTGCTGACTTTAGATCAGCGCCATTGTCTTGACAACACTGGTGGTTTTACTGACAGATGTTTTTTTGTTTTTGTTTTTTTTTGGGGGGGGAGGGAGGGATTAACACCGTGTGCAAACTTGACATCATCACTGATAATTGTCCCCTCATCTATCACCTGTACTGACATGCACTTCCATATGTATGTAAATCAGTGTGGACATTAGAAGCGTGGTGGGCAGATAATGATGTGAAAGGGGGCAGTGGGTCTGACCGCAGCCTGGAAATAAAATGAAACTTTAAATTATAATACATAAAGTGAAAATACTGAGCATAAATTTGCAAAACCTTGCAGTCGAAAAGTTCTAAGACAAATTGACAAGACTTCACTTAAGCAGAAACAAGGACTGTAAAACTATTACAATTAGTACTCTGATTAATCACAGTGTAGCTGCAAATTAATCACAATTAACTGTGACTAATCACAATTAGTCACGATCATGATTAATTGTAATTAATAAATAAATCAATATTTAAATCAACATTAAATATTTTCTTTGTGTATTTCTGGAACAGAAACACAAATGACAGTAGGTATATATATATTTTTTTCATTGATTGTTTTTATTTGTGACTAATCAAAATCATTTTGGGTCAAATTAGAGAACATGTTGTGAAATGTTTGTCGGACAACTTTTCTGAACTTTCTGACCTAACAGTGAGGTTTGACCGACAATAACAGACAGCTTAGAGATTAGATATTGGAGTTAGAATAGAAAAACCTCACCTGGCAGCTGTAAAAGACTTGTCTTCAAAACATGACAAGGAGATAAAAATTATCTCGGATTTTATCACCTATGTAGACTGTTGAGCATTGAAACCATGGGTTTCTGCTTCACACTGGATTAATATGATGTCGGGGACAAAGATTTGACCCCTCACTGCTCCAACTGAACACACAGACACAGATTATCCCGGGAATGGGAGTTTCTGTTGACTCATGTAGAGTTTAGGAGCAATCATTTATGGTGTTTGATTGTGTTTAGTTTTTTTTTTTTTTAGAGCCTTAACTGTTTTACAATAGAGGAAAGACAATCAGCTAGAGAGTTATGACACTGATAAACCAGGAATTCTTATGACCCGGCTTCAGGTATTTGATGGAAATATTTGTTTACAGAGCTAGGAAGGCTATGTCTCTTATATTTATCCAAATGATGAGGGAAAAAAACATAAATTGGAGATTTCAGCAACAGTATTTTGGGCCAAAAAGCCATCAGTGTCCTTCAGGTGAAATACTATCAAAATAATCATCACTGTTGCACTGAAATAATGAATAACAAAACTCCTACAAAAAACCATTCCGGTGCTACTGCCCCAGTTTACAGTGCTGTTAACTAAACCTTGTTGCTAGGCCCCCGGTCCGGCTCCTATTAAAGACCTCATTGTTGAGTGTTTGTTTCCAGGTCATTTTGTTTCAAAACATCTAAAAAGGACAGTCACGTCCCTGTAAGAGACGGATCCCTTGGCTGACACAGACGCAGACCCTTCACTTAGCATGACTAAGTGGATGGATCTGTGTTTCTGGGTCACCGTGTGGCCCTGAAATCCACACCTCACAGACCAGAGAAGAGACATAATGGGATACAAACACATTTTCCACACTGCACTTAAACAGGGAGCGATGATGTAAAAACACCCCAGGGCCAACCGCTTCTCCTGTACAAACTAAGAATGCAATAAAAAGGAACACGATGGCAAAAACTGCATCAGCCATCGGCCATGTTAAATAAAAGAGATATTCCTCTGTTTTTACAAAATTAAACTACTTACTATTGGTAGACTACAGTTGACTTTAGATCTATTTTACCTTACTCAGCTATTAAAGAATAGAAGTTTTGAACAACAACAACAAGAACGTGGCAGCAAAAATCGCTACTAAAATCAGCCAAACCACAACAGAAAAATTGCTAGATTTTGCCAGAAAGAAGATAGATTTTACACAAAATTAAATGTTTACAATCTAAATGTTATGCCAGTATAAATCTCAATTAACCAAAAAAATACCACAATATAGACTAGAAATAGCTTATAGAGAGCTTAGAACTTAAAAGATGGCTATAGGTTAGCTTCAAATATTAGTTATTATATATTTTTATAGTTATTATATTAGCCAAAAAATGTACTAGTCATTACTAACAATTTGAGCTAGAACTTAAGTAACATTGGCAAAATATTGCAAACATAGCTCCCGTAAATATAAACTAATAGATAATATATGTGAATGAAAAAGTCTATCTTGAAGACTTAAAAAACAGATTTAAAAATCCGTCTAAACTTTCTATATTAATTGTGATTAATTCATGACAACTAGACAAAAAAAAAAAAACACACGTTTTCTAATGTTTTAATTGTTTTGTTGGAATTTGAATTTCATTCAAATCCTAACAAACCCCCACATTAATGCTAGAAGAAATGAAAATATGAAAAAACCGCTGGTTATACCAAGTCACCATTACACCGCACTGCATTTGCATGAGTTTTGCTGCAACATTTTCTAACAACAGTGAATAGACACAAACAAGAAAAGAGCAAACAAGTGTTGTGACTGGTGTCTTTGTCAAAACACAATGGACTCGACTTTCCACAGACATGAGACGTCCTTCGTACCGCAGACGAACAATGTCTCATGTGGGAAACCGACACATTCTGGGATCTGGGGGCACAGCTCGGTGTATGATCTGTTCGATACGGAATGCAGACGTTTCTTTGCAGTTTTAAGGCCTTTTGGTTTCTGCACTGATCGACTCGGTAAATAAATGGGAACGTTTTATTCCGTTTATTAGTCCGGGCTCGATCGCAGTAGGTGTGATTTACAGAAGAGATTAAACTTCTCGGTGTTTGAAAAATAAAACTGTTTAATTGCAGGAAGACATTTTACAAGGCACAATATAGCTGTTGCTAAACTATTTATTTACAACGTACATACATGTCCCACTTGGCTAAACAAAGTTTATTAGATACAACAGCGATCTGAAACATCGTTGTAATGAAATTCACCCCAGACTGCATCTGCGCTACATTGATGACACAGCCAGACATACGGCAGTATTACATAACAGCCATTAGAAGCCATTAAAAGGTCAAATAAAATATATGGATGCTGAACGGTAAGCTCCAGAGAGGGTCGTAATGCAGCAAATAAACAAGTAAATACGATGTGTAGTCAATAAAGGAGAGAGAGGCAGGCTCCAGTCAGGACTCCCAAAATGTAAAGACCAGCCACGTTAGACAGAAAACTAATATCAGCGAGGATAAACAGGCTATTAGAAGGAGCCACTGAAATGAACACGGAGCCTTAAAGGTTTTCGGTTGTTCATGCGTTGTTGGCACAGACTCGATGGTTTTAATCCTCGACCAGAGCGTCTGGGATGGAGGTGATTGTCAGGATGGAGCTTTTCTAGATTGTCTCCGTCTCTTAAGACGCTCCTCTCTCACCGTCTCTGCCTCCAAAGAGGACAGCTCAGATATCCTGTGGACGAAGGAGCGAGGCGCTCCGACCACCGGGTCTGGATACGACTGACCTGCGGAGGCAGCAGCAGGTCAGGATGACATTCGTAGTAAAATACCACTGTAAAAATACTTTTACGGATTCAAAATTTTACAAATTAACTTTTTAAAAATATTTACTTACCATAAGCAGCGCATTATTCGCTGCCTTAAAACGCTCCACGGTGCTTTTGTTTCATTGTACAGCAGTATTTCTTTCAGATCCATTGTAGAATTAATTTCTTAATATTTAACTGCATATATATGTATATATATAGTATACATATACATACATAAACACATATTGTACATACCCATGTACATATACATGGGTATATAGGAACTGTAATACCAGTTTAATTGGTGAAACATTGAGAACACAAAAATGGCCAAAAACCTGTAAAAATAGATTTAAAATAGCCATAGGACATAACAGAAGAAATGATAGTACTTTGAAATATCAAAAAATACACATAGCAAAAAGCCTAAAAATGCAGCTGTAATTTGCAGGTTGATTGCAAAACGTTACTTCATAAAAAGCAAATACATAACCCCAAAAAGCTAAAAATTTCATTGAACAAAGTAAAAAAATGAAAATCACTATATATAAACTAAGGGTTACAGTTGCAAGTGTCGCTAATAGCTGCAAAAAATAAAAAAACCTAAACCTTGTTCAAATGATACCCAGGCGTTAAAATGTTGCAGTTATAAAAGGTGGCAAAAAGTTAGCCTAGCAAACTACTTTCTTTAAATATAAAAATAAGAATGAAAGGAGTGGTGTGACTCACTTTTGTGATTGTCTTTAACAGTCATCTGTGTGTATGATGGATAATTCACCTTAGGCCTGTGGGACAGAGAGGCTTTAGAGGAGGTACATGTTTCACAGATACAGTATTTCAAAGTATAGATTGTGACTGTGTGAGGTCAAGAATACCTGCTGAGCTTGCAGTTTCCTACCATCAAGGTATTTCTACCGTTGAGGAATAAAGTAGAGGGAACGAGGATGGTCGGACCTGGGTTCAGTTCATATCCCTGAGGAAAGCTATGAGACATTTAAGGACATTTAAGTCAGAAATAGAAGGAAAGCGAAAAAAAAAATTTGTTGCTTTGCAGTATTTTTCCAAGTAACAGCAACAACATCATTAAAGAGTATTTAGTGCAATGTAAAAGCAGTTTAATAGTCATCTAAACCAAACTTTCCCAGAAACAGAAGACAGATAATTGGGAGAACAGATGCGATCTAATTATCCTGCATTAAATTACAGCCATCATCAGAACAGGCCCTGCCTCTCGTTGCTGCTCTTCTTTGTTCTTACTCATGTAAGACTCTATTAGAGTGTCAGAAGATAATTATTTTGGCACAGCTTGATCCAGAAATAGTCTGTGAAGAAGAAGCTACAGCTGCAGGAGTGAGAGACAAGAATCGACTGTTTACCCCAGAGTGAAGGGCTGCCCTGGGTTTCTGTGAGAAAGATCCTTAGGGAGGCCAAAAAGATGGCGGTTGATCCCAGGTCTGTGAACATGGTAGTCTCTCGGCAGTGGAGGAACTACCGTTCTGGTTCTCTCCAACCCTTCACCTAAAAGTAATCACATTTAGAATTGGAAAAATGTCTTTAAAAATCATGTTGCAGTACTGCATGCACTAAAACAGAGACGATGATTAATTAGTGTAGTTACAGCTCCATCTACTGGCTAACACAGGCCTTGACTTGTTTAGGTTTAAGACCGATTTCTTTTTTTTTTTTTTACAATAAAGCCTTACATTTGTTATCAAAGAGAAAGTGTTTCCCACACATGTCCTCTGGCTCCTTATTTTCTAATTCAACCTTGTCATCTTTGGACAGGTTTGGTGGCCTACGCAAAGAAAAGAAAAAAATTTGATTAATTTTGACTGTTCCAATCAGGAAAATCACATGATAGAAAACCGAGTTCCACTTAGTTCATCATATATGCATTTAGTACATGTGTACAATGTGTAAAATATTTTGAACACTGCCAATAGGTGTTTCTGCATATTCTTATACTTATCTCTAACTGTACCTATTTTATAATTGGGGGTTGAAAAGTGCCTTTTATTCACATCTGACCTTTACCACCTTAACCTGCTGCAGATCTTTCAGCTCTGTCTGTTTAGTCTCACAGTAATTCAGTCTTCATTTGCTTTCTATCTACTACAACTTTTTTGCTACTATAGTTTACTTTACTATTACGGCACTCCTCCAGACTTCCCCTAAAGTGGATGCAGCTATACTCTTTCTTCAGCTTCCACAGTTTCATCCTTGGCCCGGCCTTCACTTGTTTCCCCTTCTTTGTTTCCACTGTCATCCTACACTCTTCCCTGACACCCTGCCCCTCTAATGGTGACCAATAATGAACTGCACCCACTGAGATGTGTAATGCGTGTTTGGAAACTTTACCTCCATCTACATGAGACAAAGAATTAACCTAATTAGTGAGAATAACTGATTAGTAATTGTATTTCTAAACATTTCTGACTAGAAACTTGTTTTCATAACCATTCTAACACCTGAACATCACAAGTTCATTTTCAACAAGCAATATAACTGATGTTAAGGAAACAACGGATGTAATTAGATCTGTAAAAAAATCCAATATGGGGGTTGAAAACACTTGATAATAATCTAAGGGCGGCTCGAGAAAGAGTTTGCAATGCAAACAGGGTGTGTTTATCTAACTTGAGTATATTGTGGTTCCTCTTTGACAGGAAATGAATATTTTTTAGGTAATGGAATGATTGAAAACCTTCCTACCATCTAGTAAATCAGTTGTTAGAATGGTGTTTAATTGAATAATTAATTTACTTGTATACCGAGTATATACTTTGTTTGTTTGGCGAATTTCTCCATTTTATGCACAAGTATGGGGCTATGGGGTGTATGAGTGTTTGGTGCTATTGCTTTACATCAAGATGATCATTGGTCCAAACGCCAGAGATGACTCTCTGGTATATAGTAGAGTATTTTACGGGCTGAGGTTGCAATTTTAATTACGTCACATATATGGTGCAGAAAAATAGTTGGACTTACTGTTTAATTGTCATCAATGACTTGGCATCCCTGGTCTCTACAACAGAACAGAGGTAATACACTTGTCAAACCGCTAGGCTAACTGTATCTGAATTAATGCCATGATGTCATCGAGGGAAAAACACTGGTACTTACTCCTGAGCGGCTCGATTACAGGATATTTCCTCCTGAAGTGATGACTTTGAGACACCGTGACTCGTCCTCCTCCTGCTCCCAGTCTGTAGTTGCTGTGTGAGGAGAATCCTGCAGCATCTGGGCCGCGATGATGGCTGCTGCTGTTCAACGCAGCAGCTGCGGAAGTCAGAGTCTTAGCGGTCGGTACAGAGGAGTTAACGTGGAGGGTCATCATTGTGATGATCCACTGCTGAATTACAGACATAACCACATCATCACATTAATACGGTATGATTATTTTTCTTTACTGATAAACCGGCGTGAATCCTCCATGGTCGGAGAGCACCGCTACACTGCAGGTGATAAAAACGCTACCGTGTCACAGCGTAACCATGGAAACAGCGCACATATAAAATTTGCCCCCGGGTCTGAAAACGTTACGACAGTTATTCTAATTCAACAACTTACTTCACTTCTGACACATCCGGAAAAAAAAATATTTTACGCATCTGCAAAAACGCCCGTTATTAGTTCATACTGCAGAAAAATCAAGTGCACGTCGAAAATTCATTAACATTAGAAAATCATTTTAGATTGTGAATGGAGGGGCATAAGTTTCAAGGCTCAACACTGTTACAACGGCATTTCTCAATAAAATGACAAAGCACATGTTGGGGTCATTTTCATTTTTAAACAAAGCTCTGTGGCCCGACTCAGCTATTATTTAAGCAAAACAGGGAAGACAGTTCACCAAAACTGGACATCAGCATCAACACCAGAGTCCTTTATAATAAGAACCAATGACCTTTTAGCCAAAGCCAAAATAGAAACCCAGGTAAATTATGAAAAACAAACTAGTCACAAACCCCATCAGCAGTAAAAAAACAAAACAAATCACAGCCAATGTAAATAAGTATTAACAACAGTCAAAACTTAGTGGAATGGAGTCTCCCACAAGATCACAGGGGAGGGGTTAGGAGGACATCATACTCATTTGCGTCAACTTAAAAAAAAAAAAAAAAAAAAAAGTTAAAACGTCAAGCATGATTTTCAAGAGATTGAATTTGATAAAGATTTCCACCACCAAGTGATTCTGTTCACTGCAAGGTTCAGCTTTGTAATTTAACACTGGTTGGCCTTTCCTTTGCACTGCATTTTTTTTTTTTTGCATAAAGAAAAACCACAAATTGTCAAGTTTAAGGCAGGTAAGTCTGAAAATGTAATCCTAATAAAAATAATGAAAAAAGATTTAGTGCTGATAAAAACCAAGTTGGAACAAATCAGTTGTTTTACTAAAAGAATTAATTTAAAATGAGCACAAATGACAACCACACTTTTTTTTAAGTTTTATTGTACAAGATCGGTCCTTTGAATACCTAAAAGAAGAAGAAAAAAAAAAAGAGTTAGCATAGCCTAAATAAACAACAATGATATTCATGGGAAAATCACCCAAAAGCAATCACTGGCTTTAACAACTGCCAAAGATTATGCCAATTAAGATGCGGTTTCAGACAGTGTTGGCTTATTTTCAGCAAGTTCTCACCATAGTCGATAAGACGGGGAAAAAAGAATATGCATCATTAACCACATCTAATGACAAAAACATTTAAACAAACTGGAACTCACCATTAACTTCAGTTCATCCTCCTGACCATTCTGTTAATCTGATCTTCCCTGTTGCCAGCATCTCCTCCCTCCACAAAGTGCGTGGTCTTCTTCTTCATACCACCACGGGGTGACGAGAGCTTGAAGGGCCACAGGAAGTTGTTGGCTGGTTTAAAGTTCTTTCCAACTGTGTAAATCTCATGGATAAGATCCTCCATGCAGATGATGCCATATTTGCCTGTAGAAGAAGTAGGTTATTTACCTTAATGAAGGTGACAGTAGTGGCTAAATGGACTGCCATGTTTGAATGTAATTTTTTTAACATATGCAAATACAAGTTTAACTGAAAGTGGTTTCAGACACAACTGGCTTAGTTTGCAGTTTTTTTCACCATAGTCGATAAGACGGGGAAAAAAAGTGTACATCATTAACCACGAGCCACATTGCACAAGTGTAGGAGGATTAAACTGGTGATATTTGAGGCAGCAAATGGTTTCTGAAGTCAAACATAACCATTACCCCTAAAATCTCACATTCAGGATAACTGGTGCTAACTCAAGTTACATTTTTTTATGATAACTTTGGTGATTTCATTGTGCTGTGACAAGTATCAATGCATCAGGTAGAGCATTTTCTTTAAAATCTTGACTCTGAATAACCATGTCAATGGTTTTATGTTATAAAACTAAACTTTAACCAAAATCAAGTACCACACACCTAAGTATTCAAATACCTATATTAAGCCTTTATTTAAGGACTTAACTAATTAATTTCATTTTAAAAGAACATTTAATTAAAGCCTTACCAAGAGCTTTCTCCACCAGAGCATTATCTGTGAGAGCGATGCGCTGTTTCCTCATCCTGCCATGACCACGCTTGTAGATGAGCTCACGCACAGACTTCAGATTGGGGTATCTGGAACATTGTGAAATCCGCTTAGAGACTGACCATCCAAATTAACAACACTAACAGTGAACTTTGAGAACCCACAAGAACCTGCTATAAAGATTAAATTAACAAAGTTTATCAGGAACTCACATGAAACCAGACAAGCATTAGTTTCAACAGATCTAAGGTGTGTTTTTTTTTTACATTTTAAATTATTTTATTTAGAAATGCAATATACAAAGACCTGACATTGCTTCTGCAGCTTATTGTTAGGGCTTGTGGATGATGGTAATGACTTAAAAGTTAGTACTGAGGTTTTGATAGTTAGGAAAACCCTGCACACGACTGTCAGAATGTGGTTTCAGATCAAACTGGCTAAAGTCAGATTGCATTCACCATGGTCGATAAGATGGGGAAAAAAGTTGAGCATCATTAACCACATTCCAGACAGGTACCAAATACATGTAAAAAGTCTGTACATATTTGATATCTGCTCTGAAATCTTCAAAATTTTCAAAACTTTAAACAAAACAAGGCAACAGTCTTACCCCCAAGCAATGTAGGGCTCAGCAATTCTCAGCATGTTGATCGAGGCCTTGTTCAGCTTGACGAACACACCATTGAAGATCTGGCGCAGACGGAGCAGCTGAAGAACCTTGCGGACTTTGGGGCTGACACCATTGATACTAGAAAGTATATTATATAGTTAGCTCACAGTTTAACACAATTATTCTTTTTGAACTTCAGTTTTAATGTGGTTTCAGATTTATTTGGCTTAATAGACACATGTATCAGCATAGTCGATCAGTCGGGGAAAGAGCGCACATCATCAACCACAAGCAGTTAAGTAGAACTAAAGCATAAACCAACATTGATGTATTTATAAAATAAAAAACCCTTTTCACAACCACCAACACTAAACAAAATACACAGCATCCTAATTGGAGGTGGCAATTGTGGTGACAGACTTTCTTGGCAAGTAGTTTCATCGTACCAAACAACTTGCTTTCAAATACAGCTTTAATCCTGCATGCCTTTTGGACAAGAGCATACTGTTACAATGAGTGTTGGGTTTCCATATTAATTTCTTTGCAACATACAGCTAACCTTTGTTTTTAGTCCTAATTATCCTGGCATCATTAATTGGGAATTGTCAACAGTAGACTTACCCTCTGATTCTGATGACAAAGGCCAGTTTGGGCTCGGCTGGCACATAAAAGTTTCCCACTTTACGTGCAGTACGGGCCAGGCGGATCTCACGCCTGTACATCTCCCTGTACTCCTTGTGGTACTTCTCAGCCCGTTTGTAGATCAGTTTCCTGGTCACTTTACGGGCCTGTCAATAAGGAAGAACGCGCACGTGTCAGTTCAAACAAACACACAACACATGCAATTATACAGAGCTACAAAAATTAATTATAACAAAAAATTCCAACAAGGCGTGCAGTTACCTTTTTTTCAGCCAGCACCTTCTTGATGCGCGTGGCCTTCATGGCGGCATAGGCCTTTCGCCTTTTCAAAAGGCTCTCAGGGACCGCCGGAACTTTTTTTCTGAATCAAAGAATAAGGACATTATTTCTGTGTATGTGGAAAATTTACAGTTTGCAATTTGTAACAGCACAATAGAGCACGATAAAGGAGGCCTCGTTATTACCCCTGGTAGCTGCTAGCAGGCTAACCCACTTACTACGGAACAAAAAGGTATAACAACACACTCTAAAAGAAACTGTCACAATAAAATGCCTGACATTTAACATTTTATAGCCTCTACCCATTCGCATTATCTAAAAAAACTAGCTGCATTTCCTAGCACGGGGTATAGAGACAGCCATGTTCTTTTCTAGAACTACTCATAACCGGCATGAAAAAGTTACAGTATAAAACACAAATTACACGACATTTCTTAAAAATATAACTTCGAACGACGTCTAAATCACTGAAACAGCCTATTGCTTGTGTAAAACACACAAGGACGATCATCTTAATAGAGGATGTGCTTCGATTTTATTCCAGAGGCAAACACTCACTCTGCGTCCGCCATTGCGTCCACCGAGAAAGAGAATTTTTTCTTTGCGCATGTGCGTGATAAAAGACTTAGGACCCGAGTGGGCTGTCTTCGCACCTGCCTGACTGTCGCTCCCTTATGGTGAGTAAAGTAAAAGTCGAGCGATTACAGCTAACTTTAAGTTAACGCTACTTTTAATCTTGAAGAAATTAAGTTCGCTTTTGTGCTCTATTGGTGAAGTTGTCTGGCGCTTTATAGAATCTTAGATCAGTTAAGCTTTAATTTTGTATGAGTCAAAACTGTTAATATAAATTACTCAACAGGATTATTATTAATTAGTTGCTGTAATATGCTATTCAACGGAGGATTATATCATACTTTTTCCACCAATAATAAAACAAACGTTAAAAAAATGAGTGGGATATGATCGCCGTTTGCATTGTTTTGCCACAGCTGATGTTATGCTGTAGCTGTTACTAATGTGCATACTTGACCGTTAGAGGCCGCTGTTGTTTAATTTAAAAAATAACGAGCGTTCAGCCGTGTGAAAGAGGTTTACGTTTACGTTTTTCTCCTGGACTTCTGAATCTCTGTGGAGAAAACATCACCTCTTCTACTTTGTGATGTGAAACACAGTTATTCTGAGTGAAGTACTGATATTAGGAAAATGACACGTTCTGCTGAGGATTTTTGTTTTTAGGACTTAATCATAAGTCTTCCTTAAACACTGATGAGAAAATATTTTCCGATTTTTTATTTTGTCCACAAACAAAACATATTTTCTTCACATTGCCATAAGTTGCAAAGAAACCAGAGCACACTGCCATCAAAGCAAATAAAAATAAAAACGGTGCGATTTATCTAAAATGATTGTAGCCCTATTACTGATTAATTTTATTAAGGCCGGGGATCAACGATTCCCATAGCCGATATATTATGTTTTTGAGTCGTATTTGAAGTCTTTAATTTGCAATATGAAGCGTTAAATGATTAAAACCACGTTTAAGGGTGTTTCAGCTGGCTAAAGGTTTCTGCATTTGAGTATTAAGACTGGTTAAGTATTTAAAAAAATAAACGTGTTATAAACTAAAAAACAAATAGATTTTTAACACTTTTAAAACTGGTATTTTTAAAATGCCATTTGTCTTTTTACTGGTTAGTGTTAGGGCTCTGTATTTGTAAATAGACTGTTTGGCTTTCTGTCCACTAGATGTTAGGACGTGTTATAATCTGAGTACGTACGCATATACATTTATATTTCTAAACGTTTTAAACAATCATAACTTCTGTTAATGACCGGTTACTGGTTACTGGAGTAGTTTTTTTTAGAATGTAGATTAAGCCTCTTAGATTAATTTAAAATTAACCTGGTGAACTGTGAAGAAGAAAACCCGTCATTGATAAGAAGTAATTGGTTCGTTGTCTAAATAGTTAACTGTGATAATGATATGTATTCGTTTATATTTTTCTTTGTATTCGGGAAATACTTTTTAACTGGACAAAGTTAGATTTTATATCCACTTGAAACTCGCAAACAGTTTCAATAAACAGTCCGCAATTGATACGGGTCTTAGTGTCCACTTCACACGGGAGCACGTGACCTGATCTAGGTAAAATATTGATACATTTTGACGATAACCTGAAGTTACACTTAAATGCTGCCTAGTCCTTCCTCTCTGGATTAAGGTAAGATCACATACTATACTAAATACTAAAATATGGGATTGTCCCTTTAGTTAACCATTTTCTTGGTTTATCTGATAGCTGTAAGCTTCCCTTTTAATTAACCGAATTTTACAAAAAAAACTTCGTAATCCAGTGCAGGGAAGTAGACTTCCTAGACGAGAACTTCTTGTAAGGTAAAATCCAGCAGGTTACATCACCTCTGGGTGAAATGAATGCAGCAGACGCTTACGTCTATTGGGTCCAGCACTGATGGGTGGACTGCATAAATAGCGAGTGGGACGCAGCTAAGGATGAGACGAGCGGAGCAGCAGCAGCAGCAGAAGCAGAGGAAGTGGGAGGAACAGTTGATAGTAGCTAGTCACTAACTCTCCGGTTCAGGTCTCTGTGGCGGCATAAAGATCTGAATGAGCAGCGTCTGAACTCTCCACTCTCCGTTCTGCCGTTTTCCTCTCTGACTGTTGCCTCTCCGTGATCCAAGTTTCCGCGTTAAGCGCACTTCTCTGCTGCAAACAGGTTGCACAACAGTCTCTCCACCGCGCGTCCGCGTCTTCCACCAAGTGATCCAACAAGATGATGATGATCATCGCGGAGTTCTTCATGGTCATTTTGAAAGTGCTCTGGGCTTTCGTAACCGCCGGAGCCAAGTGGGTGGTGCGGCCGAAGGAGAAGAGCGTAGCGGGACAGGTGTGCTTGATCACCGGCGCCGGTAGCGGCCTCGGGCGGCTCTTCGCCAAGGAGTTCGCCCGGAGACGCGCGGTACTTGTGTTGTGGGACATAAACAACCAGAGCAACGAGGAAACAGCGGAGATGGTGCGACAGATTTACCAGGAGCTGGAGACTCCCCTGACAAAAGACGGTAAGTCCGAATTGTATTTTTAATGCAACATTTTATGGCACCAGGTTTTTACGCACGGTTAAAATTAACGCACCGTTTATTAGTCCGTTTTAAGCTGTGCAACTTTCAATTATAGAACTAGAAATGATCTTAACAATGCCAAATGTTACTATTGATCTTTAACTAATTGCAATGTATTGATCTTTTTACTGCAGGACCCATCGGAGGTGTGGAAGAGGTGGCTCCCTTTCAGCCCCAGGTCTACACTTATGTGTGTGACGTGGGGAAGCGGGAGAGTGTGTATTCCACGGCCGAGAAGGTGCGACGGGAGGTGGGAGAGGTGGACATACTCATCAACAACGCAGGTGTGGTGTCTGGCCATCACCTCCTGGAGTGTCCCGATGAGCTGATCGAGCGCACCATGGTGGTCAACTGCCATGCACACTTCTGGGTGAGTAGAGGCAGCAGCAGTAGTAGAGTAGTAAATAACGTGACTGTGTTTGAAATTTAAATTTAATTAATGTGGCATTCATTCACTTCACAATCTCACACTCTCCCTGGAGCCAAACACACACATTTACTAAGATAACTGTATGTGTGTGTGTGTGTGAGAGTGTGTGTTTTGCTCACCACTTTGGAGGAAACATGGCCATAAATAGTTCCCTTGCGTGTTGTACTTTATTCAGCTGGGCTTCGGTTATTCTGCCAGAGAAAAGTCACGGGTTTGGCTCTTAACCCTCAGCTTTTGCTGCTCTCTGGCAGCCCATCATCTCTGATGATCCCCGTGGTATGTGGGCCCTTCCTCCCCCTCCTTCTCCTCCTCGTCCTCCTGTCTTTCTTGCTGCACAGATTTGACTTCCATGAATGAAGCGGGTGGTTCTGTGTGTGTGTGTGTGTTGGATATATTTCAGATCTGCTCACCACATTTTGTTGGCAGGAAGTGATTTGTTTTATATCAGATTTTTATCCTGGCTCCATTTTCTTGGGGGCTTCGAGGGTGAATATTTATCTGCACGGCTCTGTGGACTAGATAGAGAGAGTGTGTTACACTGGAGTTAATCAGACACCACACTTCTGAAACAGGCCAGGTGTGTGTGTGAGGTGAAGACCAGGGGTTTATACCAATCACAGCTGTGAGGTAATTGTAGAAATGCACCACCACTTGAATGACACTTGGTTGTCAGGCACCCTAACCACATCCTACAACAACGAAGAACCCAGTATTGACAAATGATTATGTTGCTTGGTTACCGTCACCTGCTCAGGACAATTCCAATTGCGGTGACTGATCGCACTGGTTTAAACATCCTTGTTTGGAAATTCCCTGGCAGTGTGACTGCATTTCTTATGGATTTTTTAGGTGAAATAAAAGTTGAATTTTTTTTTCTCCAGGTTTTTCATTCGAATGTAGTCAATCATACAGTATATCTCCCAAGTGAGCATCGATTTAAAGGGGTTTGTCTCCATATTTTCTCCCCACCGATAGACTTCTCTGTTGGCCACCTGACCAGTTCATCACATCCAGGACTCAGAGTTAGGTTCCAGCAGTTGGGTGGCAGATTAGAGATTATTTAATAGAGCTGTGTGTTCGTTTATATTCTGTGGTTATTGTGGTTTCCTCAGAAAGAGGAGGAGGAGGAGGAGGCGGCAGATGAAAGTAGTAGTTAATGAGCAGCGACAGCCACTCTGGAGGATGTGGTTCATTAAAGACACAAGGCGCATGAATAGACTCTAGACTAACACAGACCTGTTTACTCTCCCTTCATGCACACAGTGCAGTTACCCGCTGTGCGCAGGTACGGCTACGTACATGCTTTTTTACAGCTGTTGAAGTGTGGTACGTGACGCAACCGATGTCCAAACAGTAGACCTGCCTTCTGACTGTTTCAGTTTGAAATGTACTGTTAAGAGAGCGTCTTTCAAGTTTAGTTTTTTTTTGTTTGTTTGAGATCAAATGCACACAGAAATACATTTTGTTTTTGTTTTTTGTTTTTTTTTATTGTTTGACGTATGGCCAGAAATCAGTTTAAAAAAATAGATTTTATTCATTTAACTTTCAGGCTGTTTCATGAATTCAAATGCAGCAGCAGTAGTTTTTTGTGCTTCAGTTTTGTGAAAAAACGACAAGAAAGATAGAAACTTTTCCAACGGGAGTTATAAAACTCTGCTCGAGGTTACGATGCAAATGTTTTATATCCTGTGCAAATTTAAAAATTTTTGGCCAACATACGTGGTTGGAATTGGGCAGCGTAACAGAAATGAGCAGGAAACAAATGCTAATCGTGTATGTGCGTGCGTGCCCAACCATCTCAGACCCCACATTTCTTCGGGCCTCCTTCCACCGGCCCCTCTGACTCCTCCTAATTCTGACTTGAAGGCAGTGGGTTCAGCTGCATCAGAGTCGAACAGCCAGCTCTGCTCATCCAGCTCCACCACACACATACAGTTTAAAGCAGACAAACAACTATGATTCACGACCGTAGATCATCACATTAAAATCCGTCTGCCGTCCTGATTATTACAGACAGTAGTTTTCACTTAAGGTCTTAGCTTTGAGTCAGGGTTTAGTCATAGACCCTCCAGTGTCACCAGATATTGTTTTCTGGAGACTTCGTGTGTGTCACGAACATAAACCATCTTCAGCATCTTGAGCCTGTTATCCAACAGGTGGTTTCTCTCATGGAAGTCTGACAGGGATGTGGTGGAAAAAGAACTAAGTAGGAAAGTGAAGAGGAAGCAAGAAAGGGAAGAAGGAAGGAAGGAAGGAAGGAAGGCAGTGGCTTTCCATCCAAAAAGCGAGGCGAGAGGGTAATGGTAAGCTGCCGCTGACCCACTTTATCTGACAATTGCTTTCTTGTCCGTGGATCAAATTGACAAGATTCCGCCGGCCTCAAGAAACCCATGTCCCGTGGCTTCTTTCCTTCTGTATCCAGAGAAAGGAGGCAGCCAGGCAGAAGGGTCCCACTTGACTGGTTTTATATGGAGCCCTCCTCAGTAGTAGTGCACCTGTACCTGTGAGCCAAGCGAGGTCTTCGTTTTCCAGAGTTCATCACGGCTTCAAACATCTCTCACTTTTAACCTTTAGGACTAAAGTCTTGCACGAAAAACCCAAAACCATTCTTCAAAACAGAGTATTAACACAAGATCAAATCTGATATGAACATCGATCCACTTGAAACGACTACAAAAAACGCAGGTTAAAACTGCAGTACATCTGATTCCCTGAATACATTTTCACTCAAAAGGTCAGAAAATGTAAGTCTGTGACTAAATGGTCAGTACTAGAGTCCGAGGTACATTTTGTATATGCTACGTGTTCCTGGAATATTGTATTGGCCCAAAATCCTGAGGTGTGTTTTCAGTATTGACATCCACTTTCCAGTAAAATTGAACATGCGTTGCTCAAATGAGGAGGACGGGGGGTGTAATGCGCTCCCTAACAATAGTTCAGTCTCCACAACACGATCAGTCCTGCGTCCATCATCCCTGATGACCACCAAACCAAACCCAACTGAGTCAGGTTCCATCATCTGTTGCGGGATCAGACATAATTTTTTTTTCCTCTTTCCCAATTTCATTCCAGGAGAATCAGCCCAATTAAATGACCATCTGTTTCCACACAGAGGCCAATATTTTGTTCATGTTCCTGTTGGTCAGGCGCTTGCACTAATACAGCCTGACACCCCAGCTGCGAAAAGCTTTGTGTGGCTCAAATGTTCACACCAATTAGAGGGTGCAGCGTGCAGGACACCTCCACATGGGCCGCGGGGGCCCGGACACTGTCAGTGGGGTAATTTGGCAGAACAAGGGAGCGTTGAAACCCAATTACGGCCGCTCTTGATGTGCGACACGAGTCCCTGGTTGTCTTCACACATTTTGTGTCCGAAAGGTCACGGGAGGTGATGCCCACATGCCAGAGCTGCCATGAGAAGCAGGACATAGTCGCGTTTAACCACATACTCCCACCGAAGGAGGGAGAGGGGTGGGGGGGGCTGCACGTAGAGGGGGTGTGAAGGCTTCATCTCTTCATCACGCCACAGAATTGTCCAGTCGTCTCTGAGCGTTGGCTCCATCCGTGGATAGTTGTGCCAAATCGAGTCCTTCCCTGCTCTCTGAAAGTTTCTGTGGGAGTGGGAGACTTTGGCTCAAATCAGGTACGGGGCATATCTGAAGTTAATGCTTCATTTGCACGCAACTCCCTCCCTTCATCTCACTGCCATTCTGGCTCGCAGAGGCCTTGAGTCTTGTTCGCTCCCTCCCTTTGGGGCCCCATCATTTGATGAGCTGAATATTGCAGCAACTTGAAAAGTTACGTCCTGGAAAACTGCAGCTGTTGGAGCCGAGTCATATCATTATACTGTACCTGGATATTGAATAAAGTCCAAAAGTGTGAGGTCATCGTCCTCTCGCCAGGCTTCCTCTGTGCAGATTTGACTTATGGCTTTGGGTTTTAATAATCTCACAAAACAAAGAGAGAGCTGTAGAGCGCAGCAGAGGTTGCGTTCGGAGTCAGAAGGTCCAACGTAGTTAATCTATGAGGGCAGCTTTAATGAGGCTTCTCCTCCCCTGCCAGTGGTTTCATGGCTGTACTACCTGGTACCACTCTTTCTCTCTCTCTCTCGCTCTCTCTCTCCCTCTCTCTCACTCTCTGGCTCTGTGCTCTCCTCAAGTAAATGTTTACAAAGCGGGCTGAATCATTTCTCTGGCTGAACTAACGCTGTACCAGCGAATGAAACTGTTACCTTTCATTTATAGAACCAAAATGTGATTGGAAACTACCAATGGAACTGTCACGAGTAATAACAAATCTAACTCCCAAAGCCCGGAGTGATGTCTGAAAATTGCCAGTTACCGCATTTTTACACAGCGCTTTCGTCAGCAAAACATGGGCGTTTCTTATTTTGTCCAATCCATTTTTGAACCAATTCTTCACCATTGTTGGCCCTTATTGTGTAAAACGGTGCCGTTTTTTTTTTTTTTTTTTTTTTGCTCAGTGGCTTGTACGTAGTGTATTATTCATTGCTATGGCAGCCAAGGTTTGATCTGAATAGATTGGACTCTGCAAACAACAAAAGGCCTGCAGATTGTGTGGAGACCTCCTAGTGGGAGAGGGATTGGTCAGTTCCTGTCGCATGTCACACCTGCTGATTGGCTCATGCTGTGTCCAGGGCTCTGAAGCCCACTAACACACATATGCATATATATGCTTACACACACACAAGGAATGGATGTGTTGATCAAACAGCCTTTAATGCTAAGATTGTCTTTCTTCTTGTTGTTTTTCTCACTAGCATGGTGCTTGACATTAGCATATGGTCGTCCAACCTTGACTTTGTTAAAATGCTCCTCTTTTGACACTTTACAATAGTAGGTCATACAAATGCACTGCATTTTAACAAATGTATTTACTGCATAATAACTGTCTTAGTTAGAGAAAACATCACAAAAAAGAATCGTCAAATAAATTGTGAAAAGGTTTTTTTTTCTTGAAATAGCTAAGATGTTGATGCAAAAAGTGTTGCAAAAAAAAAGGTTAACATATTTATTTATTTATCACTAAAATAGACTAGGTTATCAAAGACTGAAAAATGACAAATAAGCATTTTAAAGTTTTGCATAGAGCAGATATGATTATGACACAGAAACTGTGAAAAAGTATCATATAAAATATTGAAATTAGCTGATGATGAAATTTAACTCAATATGAATAAATAATAAGTCATAGACCTTGTTAGAAATATAGCAAGGCTAGCAAAAAGTTTGCCAATAACGTAAGTTTGCAGTTACGACCTGGTTCAGCGTGTTGCGGTGGAAACTCTTTCATCCCCAGCATCACCTGCCTGTGGCGTGTTCTGCTGACCGTTGCTCCATCAGACAATCCACTGAATTGTATTGTTTGATGTGCTGAGTGAACGGAGGCCTGTGATTGGTGTTGTCACCAACTCTTTAGAGCCCAGCCTGACTACGGGCACCAGATCTGTGTGGGAAAAGAACAGACTGTACCGCTACAAACTCACTCACTCTCACACACACACACTCTCCACACCTGCTCATTCATTGACTATCGGCAGAAGAGAAACCACATCTTTGTCTCCCCTCCGTCTCATTCACACACAGATTTAAAACCAACCACTTTTTAATGAACAAAAAAAAACATATTTTCCCAATATGAATTCTCATGCAAAAGCTTCTCCATCACCATGGAGAAACAGAGCAGGATAACAATGAGGAGACAGGGAGGATCAAAGGGCTCTGGCACAGACAAAGTGCACAAGTGAACTAACCTTCTTCTGTTTTCTTTTCCCTTTTTTCCTTGGCCCTTCTGTCTCCTCTGTCCTTCCCCACAGACCACCAAGGCGTTTCTCCCCAAGATGCTGGAGCTGAATCATGGCCACATTGTGACGGTTGCCAGCTCTCTGGGTTTATTCAGCACAGCTGGAGTGGAGGTTAGTATCATACACAACAACACATGCACATCCCATGGTTCCCACCATCCAAGTCCAGTGCTTTTTCATCCAAAAACCCACAGTATGCCAGCTAACACACTGAGCCATGGTGGGTTCAAGCCCTCTTTCTCTAGTCATCTCCCGACCCGTTAAATTAAGTGACACAGATGAGCATCGGGGAGCCTCTCATAGAGTCCTCTATCTGCAGCAGTGGGGGTGAAGGGGCCCCTGATGTGCTGTGGCCCCTGGGCCAGAATGGGCTGACAGCTTCCCAAGAGACAGAGACATCTTCATCACGGCTTTGTGAAGAAGTCGATGCTCTCTCAGCATTCAGCTCACAGCAGCCACCGTCGCTACAGTGTTCTTTATTCTAGCAGTTTTCTTCCAGTGGTTTAATATTTTTTTAGGACAAACAAAGGACCGGCCGTGTTGTTAATGACCAGCCTAATTCTATTTGCTAAATAAAAACTAGTTGAAGAGTCAATACCACCCACACACTTTGAACAACACTTCCACACCACGACAGTACCAGGAACTCCATCTTCAGGGACTGGAACTCTATTCACCTCCTTGTTTCTGAAGCTGTTTTTACTGGACGTGTCTTTTGTTCAGCCATTCATCCGTTATGATAAAGACCGTCATCAAAAAGTCCGGGAGTGTCGTCATTTTTTTTATTATTCAGCCTATTCTTCTACCTGGAAATGCCTTGAATAGGATCTTCACATTGCTTTCAGGGAACAGAAAAAGAAACCTCTTCCTTGTCACGTGAGCAGCGTCACGGACTCTTTATCCTCCTGTGTTTCTCCACGTCCATCTGTGTTTGCTCAAGCCGTCCCTTCTTTCTTTCCGCCGAAGATTATTTCCACTGTGAACCACATCAAAACCTTCCGCCCGGCCGTGTGCTCTCCTGATGTACTGGAGAAGAATGCTAATGAAACTGTAGAACAACACGCGCCACTGGCTGTGTGTCATTAACAGCAAGTAGAGACCTGGGTGCCCAGGGGCCATGTGTGATGATGCTGTCGCTGGTTCATGGGTGCAGACCCGGGCACAGCTCCTCAGGACTAATTTGTTCTCTCTCTCTTTCAAACCCTGCAGGATTACTGCGCCAGCAAGTTTGGTGCCATCGGGTTCCACGAGTCGCTGAGCCACGAGCTGAAAGCCTCTGAGAAGGACGGCATCAACATGACTCTGGTGTGTCCTTACCTGGTGGACACTGGGATGTTCAAAGGATGCAGGATAAGGTTGGCATCAAAAACCCTTCACTCTTCAAAACGCTCACGTCTGTTTCTTTTTCCAGCTTCTCTTCTGTACTTTCTGACTAAACACATGTTGAAGTCAGAAACAACAGCTGGAGGGCTCTTGGTTTTATTAGTTATTATGATAAAGTCACTTATGCTCCACTAGTCAGCAGCGGCTGCTTAAACAAAGAGGGGAAAAACAAACACCCCCAAACAGGTGCACCTGGGCACCAGCCAAACACCCACCCCACCTCCCTGCCTCCTCTAATAGTCTGCACTTTGTTTGATGGTTACAGTCAGCAGGTGGCGTGGCCTTTGGCTTTACTGTCCCACCACCTGCTGCAGTTACTGACATAAAGCATCACATCCTGTTTAATTATTATCACTTCACATCTCACTTGATTAAAAGCCTCCAGGTTTTGTAGAAAAAGCCACAAACACAGATTTTTTTTTTAAGGGATGATGAAGTTAATTTGTTTTTTTCCTTCAGGAAAGAGATCGAGCCTTTCCTGCCCCCCCTGAAGCCAGAGTTCTGCGTCAAACAGGCCATGAGGGCTATTCTCACAGACCAGCCCATGATCTGCACACCACGCATCGTCTATATGGTCAACTTCATGAAAAGGTGGGTGGAAAAGGAATCTGATTGGTACACACTGTACCTTCCTTCAAACATCTGAATTCAAGTGACAAAAATAACTGTCATATTAGTCAGGGTCTTCCTCACCAAGCTGCGACTGGGACGTAGCCTGTGTTAATATTTATGTCAAACTCTATGAACATAATTGTGGTCTGCTTGAAAACAACACAAAGACAAGTCTGCATCTCACAACAAGAAACAATTCAAAAAGGAAAAGGCCCAATACCAGCAGAGGAAAGGAAGCACGTCGCCCCTTAATGTAGTCAAGTCTCACTACATGAGACATCATTTTAAAACATTTAAACAAAGGAAGTTGTACAAACCAACGTTCAATTTGACTTGGAGAATACAACTTTTTAAATCGTATCTTCCCTCTTTGCAGCATCCTGCCTTTCGAGGCTATCGTCTGCATGTACCGGTTCCTGGGGGCTGACAAGTGCATGTACCCCTTCCTCGCTCAAAGAAAGGAAGCCATGAACAACAACGAAGCAAAGAACGGGATCTAGGCGACACTGATGAGGGGGTGAAAAAACAAACAGGATCACAGGGAAGGAGTCAGCACGTGGAAACGACCACTGAGGATAAAGATGGGGAAAAAAAGAAGACTGAATCTAGACTGGTGCACTTGCATTGAGCAAATGCAAAGGTTTACCATATTGTTCCTCTGGAACAAAGAAAGCTGTGGACTACACATCGGATTTATTTGACTTTGTTTATGTCTCCTACCATTTTTTTGTTTAAGTTTGTTTAAAGAAACCAGCATCTATATACTATGTCACTAGTTTTGAAATCATACAGGAAAAGATACCGATAATTAACTATTTACATAATGTAGTCACCAGCCTTATCTAGTGTCATTGTGGAGCTATACAGTATGTTACTGTACAAAACAGTAAAAAGTTTTTTTAAGTTTTTTTTTTCACTTTATTTTTGTAGACATGCACTGTAATTTCAATGTTTTTTTTTTCTTTTTTCTACACTGCCAGCATTAAACACATCAAGTTCCAAACACCCTAACATCTCCCAAAACAGAGGCTCTTTCCCCCTTTAGCTCTCATTAAAAAAAGAAAAAATATATAATAAATTCACAATTTTATTTTCCTTTTTGTTAAAATTCTTGTGTTGCAGACTTGTTATCGTAAAGTCCAGTTCTGACACCTGCAGTGTTACTGTCTAAACATCGTCCGTTTTCAAGGCCTGTGTTGACAAACCTCTCAGAATGAAAGTGGAAGTTACCGTTCTGGGCTGAACTTGTATGTCATTCAGAATGTACTGCTTAAGGAGAAACAGAGAGGAAACAAACGTTTCATTTACATTTTTTTCCTCATTTGTCTTTATTTTTTCCATGATTTGTGCTGTTTATATTGTAAATTTGTTACCAATATTATTTGTTAAGAGAAAAAAAAGCTGTCATTTCAGGTAAACCACTGTCTCCAAGCTGATGTGTGGTTGAGGGAAATGTATAAAAGACACTAACTTTGACCCCGCCCCCTTTTCCCAAAGTAACACTTTAACGCTCCTGTCTGTTTCCCACCGTGTACAGTCGAAGTGAAATGTAAATGTTTAAATGTTATGAAAACCCCAAGTTGTTTTTTTTTTTTTAAATTCCACCTTACATTCCAACGGGCGTCATTTCTTCAGTCACAGCAATGAGCCTTAATTCTCTACCTCTTTGTTTGCCTTTTTTTGACAGTATGACATAAGCCTCTTTTTTTTTTTTGGTTTATAACTTTCTGAAAAAATGCTCCGTGGCAGAGCAATGTGGTTCCAATGTTTAGTGTCTCTACCTAACTTAAATTAATAAAGTGATTTAGATTATTACACTGTGTGTCATTAAAATCTGTGACTCCGTGTGGGTGTGTGTGAAAACTGAAACTGGATGACAATGACAGGGGCAGAAACTCCTGAAGTCATCGTACCCACACAATAATAGTGAAACCCAACATCCGGTTTCTAAATTTAGGACAGTGGTGAAGAAACAACTTCACTGAAACTCCCATGGGGTTTTTTTCTTCAGATGAATGGTTCACTACAGTGAGTAGGAGGGTACCAGGAAATACTGTTTTAATTCTTTGGACATGGTTTCATCATATGATGACCCTCAGTCCTTTGACCTATGACTACTTCTCTGACTGGCATCTGGTAACTGCAAACCCACATGACAAATACTTAAGTAAGAGCCTGTAAACAAGCTTGGAAATGCTGTATCATATTTAACACAATATAACAACAAAATAATTAAATAAAAAGTGAGATCTAGGAAATATATAAAAAAACAGTAGCAAAAAAAGTTAAAATAAATATTAAATATTATTTACCATGAGATAACTAAATGTTAGGTAAGGTAAAGAGAAGAATAGCTTAATAGAAATTAATTACAACAACACATATATTCTAAACAAAACAGGATGTGGCTGACATAGCAGAAAGCAAATAAAACAGAAAATGACATTTGACCAACATTAGCTTATTTTTGCTATAATTTACAAGAACAACTGTAAAAATGCTAATATAAATATCCCAAAAGTATTCTAAAAGATGACCAAAGGATAATTAACCTGACATAGCCTTATAAAAACCAATATATATCTATAACAGATAATATGAAAATAGCAAAAGAAAAATCAAAAGAATATAAACAATTATTTGGCTATTTAGAAAACCAAGAAAGATATTTTAAAGTTGACCAAAGCATAATTGGCCTGATATAGCATGAGTTCACCTAAGTTAACGTGTATATTTTATAGCAAATATAACCAGGACAAGACAGATGACGTCCCAGAAATGATCCAAACATGACCTCAAAACCTACTTAAAGTCCCACTGTGTGACCGACGACATGTGATCACAGAGGACAGGTCAGAAAAGAGAGAAAGGAGTCAGAACAGCAGATAGAAATAGCAAAACAGAGAAAGAATGAACTTCCTCACAGCATAAAAAAAAGTCGTAATGTTTGTCATCCACACATCATGGGTTTACATTTGTACTCATGCTGGAGGTCACCTCTGGGGTCACGCTCCCTTTATCAGACTAAATGGGGATTTCAGTAACCTCGGGTGATGCTCATGGTCTAAAATGAGTCAGAGAGACACACACACACTCACAGACAGCCCTGTGTGTGACTTGTTAAGTTATTTTAGGAATTTTTCTCTGCCCATGGACAAGTTTATTTTTGGTTTTCTTGATACATTTCCTGGGAATGTTTCACAAACGGTGTGATTTTCTTTTACATAATCTTGACTCATTCAGCCACTAAATTAGAACATAATCTTACACAGCAACAACCGAGTGTTGTGCTTTCCTACTGCACTTCAACGTCTCATCATCCTAATGACTAGTTTAAGTACATGTAGGTCAGCAGTCTGGAGGTATTTTGACATCAGGGACGAGGACAGTTTAAGACCTGTTGTAGCACTGAGTACGAGAATCAGTTTTACCACACAGTGGACAGATGAGGTATTACAGCTCATCGTGACACTTTTGCAGAGGCATATTTAACCAACACTGTGTTAACTTGTTTATTGAAACATGAATATATTGTGAAAGCTTAAGTCAAGTCAAGTTTCCATGCTAATGCCCCCCAAACAGCATTAGCTTCTGGCCAGGACCCACCTATGCAAACTCAAAGACAATGCTACGAAACTTTTTAAACACAATTAACTTTTAGAATGTCAATAAAAAAATCAATAATTACATTAGATTGGACCTCATTGATAACAAACCACTGGTGTTGAAGTGATTTTTAATGTTTTTAATTGAAATACGTTAAGGGTGTAAAAGCTCCGCTCACTTTCTGTTCATCTGGCAACATATAAACTCTAAACAGAACGACCTTCATGCTGTAAGGCAAGAGCAGGAACTAGTCCTCGAACCACGGAGCCCACGTCACAGGCACACGTCAATATAATCAATTAAATCAAAAACTGAATCCATGAATCCATCCATCAGAAAGAAAAAAAGACAGATTGGTGACGAGATATCTGCAGGAGCTCAGTCTGTGATGATCCGTCACAGAGGACGGCACAGTGATGTCAGAGCTCCAGGCCTCAGCACGCACGGGTTCGCTGTTGTTACAAATGAGGTCTGAATGAAGCTGCTCAGAGGGAGATTGGTTCTAATACGTATGTCCTGACAGTCAATTTAATCCCTCTGTGCACAGAAGCACTAACTACTCCCTCATTTAGCTAAGGTTAGACTCCACGTACACGCTGCGGTTTGCTGACAAGATCAGTTGGAAATCACATCGAAAACCTTTTCAGTATTGGTATATTTTTGGCATGGACTTCGAGCTACAGCTAAGGGAATGTCCAGCTCAATGACTGCCATTGGCTTTTACATGGAAATGTTGAGCTTCACAGCACCATTGAATTTTCCTCTAATTTGGGCTGCTACAGTATTGGCTGCACAGAACGAGACAATTAATCACTGTTCTAACATGGACTAATGTGGGTCTGCAGCTACTGAACCAAAACCTGCCAATAGGAAGGACATCTCCTGGGACACTACATGGTGGATAGCACACGTAACAGCTGAGAGTACTGGTTTGTAAATGTGGACTGTACTGGAACTGTGGTAATTTACTTGGCTAATAAGGTAGAGCCAGCTCAGTTTGGTGGGTCAGTAGACACCAAGACACCACTCAACTCTCCAATCACTGAAGGCCATTGATAAAATAAGAATAAAAACCAGGTAGATGTAGCTGAACACTGTAGACGGTACAGGGGAAAAGACAAAAAAAAGTGGTTGCCATGGTAACACATCAAAGTTCAGTTACAGCATGTATCTTGATTCAATTACTCAAAAATGTGCCGATCCAGTGATGGTCTTTCTATGATCTATTTATATTTCCTGATGTTGATATATTGTCTGTGTCACAAGTGTTTCTTATCTAATCCTTCTGTTAATGAGAAGAAAATTAAACTGACTCTTAGCTATTTTCTGCCTGATGTCCTCACTGTGATGTCCTCACTGTGATGTCCTCACTGTGGTGTCCTAACCTTTTCCCACTGAGCTGTGCATTTCTTGAATTCACACCCTACAGAAATATCCACAAGTACACAAATGAAAATACTGAAAATACAACATTTTTACATTATTAAGTATTCTTTTCAGGAGCATTAACCAGCAGCAGTGAGTGAAAAAAATCGACACCAGACGAATTTTTTTTTCCACATGAACTGAGGTGTTTTTTTACTGCATTTCAATAACAGAAAGAGCCTAGTAACACATTGCACTCACAGCGAAGAAGAAGACACATCCTCAGTGTCAGTGAACATAGTGACTCCGAGTGGCCTGAAGTGGACGAGAGAACTCCCTCCACTTCCAAAGAGAACACTCCAGAATGCAGACATTAAAAGCACCCAGTTGATACCTTAGTGGGTCAATACAACACACACACAATGGGTGTAGTGATCGACAAAACTGTGCAGTTTTGTGGAGAAGAGGGAGGGGACGAACCACTGACACAAAATCACTGGAATCAAGAGGAACTTCCATTCACTGGAGGACATGCAGGCCGTACAACACTCACTGGAGTGGATTCTACGTTACACGTTTTGTAGGCGTTAGAGAAAAGTGTGTGTGTGTGTGTGTGTGTGTGTGTGTGTGTGTGTGTGTGATAGACAAGCTACTGCCCTTGTAACTGGTCTCTGTTTCTGGTACAACTGTGGTACCTGCCGTTGGTCAGCTGATGCTCCAGTGATGCTATGCCAGTGAGGGGCCGTGTTAATAAGGGACTGGTGGACACTTAGGGAACTACACCTTGGTCCGAGCGCCAGTCAGCGCTTCTACTGATGACTGCTAACAACAGGTCTGTCCGTTTGTCCACATTAAAAAAAACTTTTTTTTTTCTTTTCCGGAATATGATACTCTTGCAAGTCATACACATCCATATAGAGAGGTGAACTCTTTTTTTTTTAATGTCAGCATACAAGGTAAGCTGGGTGACTATATATGAAGACAACAACTACAACTTTCACAGCACTGGCATTGGTTAATTTTAAATACAGTACTCAAGCATTGTTAATAAAATAAAGAAAAAGAAATGAAACAGAAACAACCCCCCCAGCCCCCTCAAAGACATAAACTATTGTACGCAAGTCCATTTTTCCATAAAGGGACTTATTTGTACTTCAATGTCATGATGTACATATTTGTTTTAACCATACCAACATATATTTTATCCAATGGTAGAATTGGATTTTGTTTAATTTTCATACAGTACCATGCATTTGACCTTTTTGCTTTTTGCCCTTTTTTTTCTTAGTTTGTCTCTAAAGTTATCGCTGAAATCATTGATAAACGAGTTTAGATAGCGTTGTCTTCACATAGACTCAGGTGATGGGGTTTTGTATCGGTCATTTCTCGGTGCACATCCACCCTATTGCGTGTTGACAGGTTTTGCAGGATACAGTGGCAATCGTGGGGTCAGGGGTGGAGAGGGTAGGGGAAATGTGAGTGGTGGGTGTAGGCGGTTGACGCGGGTTATGGAATATCAGGGTGGAGAGGGTGATGAGAGGTTTGTGTGTGAGAAAGGAGAGGGGTTCAGGGATGTCAGCTCCTAGACGACAGCCTTTGAATCCGTGCAGACCTGAGTGGTGGTGCCTGAGTTAGTCTGTTTAATGTCCGTCCTCCCGCCCACAGGGTTCACTGGTCTGAAAAGACAAATGGAACTCAGTTAGGGTGGACTGTGGCCATGGACTATGATCTGGCGGCGTTGCGAAAAGTCAGTCCTGCTTTTTATAAAGTGAGATAGGAGATTCTCACAGGACGAGGGCGAGGAAAGGAAAGTGCAGCGACTGCGACTCCAGACACTTAACAGTCCTTGACCTCACTCTGTTTCACGCTACCTGAGCAGCTCTGGCTTTTGTGCTTCCATGTTTTCCTTTATCAGGTGGGACTCATGAGAGCGTACAACTCCCACAGAGAGTTAAGTGTGAGCAACGACGAGACGGAGAATCAAGACGTCAGTGAATTGAAGAGGTTTAGTAGCAAAGGTGAAGAGTCTGATTTGAGAAAGAAGTGATTAACTACTGAGGTGGAAGAGTAATCGATGCCACATTTGCCCTTCTCTTCCAACAGTGATGTAATACGCACTTAAAATGTTGTGGTTGGCTTCACTCTCCTGCTCTAAAGGAGACACTGGGCTGTAAGAGAAAACAGTCCCAGCCTAAACGGTTTTCCCAGGGAAACACCTCTTATCAAAATAACACAGAAAAAAAAAAAATCAAAATAGCAGTCTCTGCTTTCCAATTTTATTCCCTGCTGCTGTCCATGCTTCCTTTTTACTTCCTTCCCTTTTTCCCATGAAGGAGTGGGGGACTAAGGGAAAGGGGCGGGTGGAGGGGGCTGTTTGGAGAAAGCTCTTCTCTGCAGTGTCTGAGGGGTTAAAGATGTCAGGCTAAGTATGAAACGATGACAGGAGCGTGCTGCACGTCAATGTGGGGAGACGGAGGTGAGCTCGTTTTTATTTTACATTGTAACTTAAATAAAAATGTGAACGCTTTCACAATTCTAAAATAATTTGGTTAAGTGTTTAGCATGAGGACAATATTTGTCAGAGTGGCCCTTTAGATGGTGGTTGTATTTTGACTACATTATTGAAAGTGAATCATTCTTTACATACACACCTCAGGACAGTATTGCTGTGGCACATTAGCATTGATATTATCATTTGACTTGGACACAAAGAACACTAATCAACTTAGTGACTTTCTTCATAGACAGAGGAGCTATCTCTTAGGTCAGGGGTCACCAACTATATCTGTCGAAGGACCAGAATTATTTCTGGACAGACACTTTGGGAGCTGGGCACTCACATTTTTGTCCAATATTATTATTTGATATTTATTTTAGAATCCAGACGTGGGGTGGATTGGATGTTTCAGTGGGCCAGATTCTTACTGCGGGCCGCGAGTTAATGTTCACTATCTAAGGATCCACATATTTCTCCCAAGAATTGAGAGGAACACTGACCTGTGTGTATGTTGAAAACGACCTGATGAGTCGGCGAGTACAGGTTGAATGATACACATCTGGATGGTCAGCAGCACTCTGATTGGCTGAAAGGTTAAAGTGTGAGGGTCTGACGTGACGCGTGTTCTACTGTACCTTGATGGGGCCTTCGACCGGGTCCAGTCCCTGCTCCGACAGCTGTTTCAAGGCACTTAGAGCAGCCTGAGAAGAGAGAACAACAGATGGTCGAGTGAGAGGTGGTTGTTGGTGGGTGAGAAGTGAAGGAGGGAGAGAAAGAGGCACTCAGTGGGAGGAGAATGAGTGTCACCCTTCAGCTGCTTTTCAAATAACACTTGCGCTGGGAAACCTGATGCCAGCAGGACACTTTCCCTCCACTGTCTGTTGTCTTTGGCTCCTCTCCTCTTGCTGTTTATCCAGAATTATTGGGTTAACATTTCCACTTTATGTTTTGGCTGCTCTGGATTTTCCTCAATCACTCTGAGCGACATCTGTATTCTCTTCGACTGCAGCTAAACAAATAGCAGCGGGCCTCAAACACCTATAAATCTATAGGTTTACAAATCACCTCACACGTTATAAATTCATCTGTCAGTGGAAGCCCACACCAGCTGAGTGAAGGCATTCAGATGTTTGTGTAACTATACCAGTGTTAATACAGCGACAAGTTAATATTTGTTCAACATGAGGTCCAGAGAGGAAACTCTCAAAAAAATAAAAATAAAAACCAACTTGTCATCTATAGAAAATCAATGTTCAGATGCATCAACTAGCAGGACGTAACGTAGATGTTCTCCTGGTTCCTGCAGCCAAACCTCTGCCAAAATGAGCTCATTTCCTTCCTTTTCATCGCATATCTGTCTGTGCCAGTGAGAGGGGCTGCTGGTGATGTGGGGCAGAGTCTGTCTGGCCTACAGTCTTAATAAATGCAATGTGTGGGAGTCGGGAGACTTTGCAAGTAAAGACCAGAAGACAAATGAAAAACAAAATAAGTGAAAAAATGTGTTTTACAAAAAAATATATCTTTGCAATAACATCCATGGTCTCAAGTGTCAGATGTAACTGATTCGCAGAGTTTCATCAACCGGTTTAACTTACTGTAACTGGTGTGCCTTGTCCCAGCTCACAGGCAAAGGAGGTATTTAATGTAGAGTAAATGTCTGGATATAGAAGGATATATAGGAGAGGAATCACTGAATTATTGTGTTATTTTCCACTTCGGTTAATGCAAAATAATCATATAATCATGACATTTTTTGATTAATTAATAAGATAATTTTTCATTTTTTTCTGCTTTGTAGATTTTTTTCATAACATATAATCTGATTTGATCAATGCTTTTAGTTTCTAGGAAATTACAAATCTTTGAACTTCTTTGTACGTCACTGTTGTGGTTAGCTTTGGCATATGATTTGACTTGTGTTTCAGCTAAACTAATTTCAGCTCTCTTTCTAACTTTTAGCAATTTATCTCTGGTTAAACTTAGTTTTGGCACACAGCACTTTTAATTATTATTTCAAAAACTTTTTGGAAACAAAGTTTCAAACACAAACAAAGTTACAAGAGGATGTTGGTTCTATGATGAAAAAAGCTTTTTTACTCTGATACTGAAAAAACAAACAAACAAACAAAAAATGCCTCGATCAAACCCTTGGCTTCTGCTCATTATACTGAATAATTTGTATGATTTATTTTTGTATTTAGTGGCTCACTTTTAATAACAAGAACATAAAGTGATGGTGGTGATGTGAAGTCCTCTGCATAGTGGTCAGAACCAGCCTGGATCCATTACATGCTATCACTGGTTAATCAGAGTGGAGATAAGGCATAATTGGCTCTACTCAGTAGATGAGTGAGATGTGATGACTGGTGAGTTTGCCTCAGCATGAAGCCCACCAACATCTCTCCGTATTATGTCCCTCCTGGTGATATCAACCACGTGGTGTTGACATATTGAACATTCTCTTTACCAGAATATTTCGGACATGTTTCCTGATGTTTCCAGACCCAGAGAAGAATGTGAATAATCGTCTGCATATCGTCCCATACACCCTAACAGGAAACATCTATCACACCTAAATCCAGAGAAAAGACAAATCGCACTGCATGGCGCATCAACATGTCTTAATGGAATGCATTACACCAAGAAGGACGTTACTGGCTACAATCTATATACTTTCTTTCAAAATCTTTTTCAAAGTGTTCCACCTAAGATAATAAGCAACATAAACCAGGAAGCATTATTCATGACCAACCGGTATGAAGGTCAAAATCTGGTTTATATCCATCAAATTGAGAAAAGAAAATCTGTGACTCATACAGGTACAGAAATAATGAGACCGCTCTGAAATATTGATACTGTTGGGTTAATACTTAAGGCCTTTCTCCAGAGACTCAGAAATCAACTGAAGCCCCTCAAAGTCTGTAACAGACAATTTATGGTGCAATGTGTTTTTTTTCTCCACCTCCAAGCTCTGACAGCCTCTGAGATTTAGGGCTTACACTCGCAGTGATTTAAGAGGACAGTGCTGTAGAACATGACAGCTGTAGGAATGCTTTTACAATTGTACTGTTAATAAATATAAATCATACTTAGGGACAAAAAAACAAAGGGGTTGCATGTTTTCATACCTTATATGCAGCCACATCGTGAAACTAGAACTGATCATACATACTGGCCTAAATAAACAGCACTGACATATAACAGAAAACCAACCAGGTGGGACCTGATGATCATCATCACACCTATTACGTAGCAGGGACACACACAAAGTCCTCCTTTTTTCCCCTCTGATGACCATCAAATGTTATCACACCAAACTTCTTAACGAATATTTTGAGCTTGTTGTATTTATTCGCTCAGTTTAGGAGCTCTCCCTCCCTGAGTAAATAGCCCAAACCCATCTGTTTGAGGGTGAAGGGGGTTGGGGTTGTCTGGAGATAAACAGCCATAAATCAGTGGCCTGACGGTGGCAGTTCTGCTGATATACGACAGACAGGTATAAAGGCCGAGGCAGCCAATCCCCAGGCTCAGCAGCTTAGCGGAGGCTGAAGCGGCTAAGACAAATACAGGCCTATCTGTGGGAATGGCAGGCAGTGAAATCATTATTTTTCTAATGAGATAAGTTGCCTATACTGAGAGGCAGCCACTGCACTGATGCATCAACACCAGAGGACTATGTTTAGTCTGAGGCCGTGACATGTAAGGTGGAGGTGGATCATCCTTCACATGAAACAAAGAGAAAGTAAGGAGATGATGTGCAGGGAGAAGCTGTGCAAGAGGCAAGAACAATAAGTGTAAGAGTCTATTAAGTGTTCCAAGCAGAAAAAAACAACTACTCTTTTGAATTAATAATACTATCCATAATTTTAAAAAATCTAAATTTTAAAGATGTAATTTCTGAGTTACAATTTCTCCACAAGGTTACAATAACCACTGAGTAGAATTGCCTGACACTAGTGTTTCATTCATTTGTCGTGTCTAAACAATTATAACCATTTATTTGTATCATGGTGCATATTTAAGTACTAATGGCAATACGCCAACACCTAGAGAGAACCCTTGAATTTACTAAGAGATTAGTACTTAGGTCACCTTCATCACCTCTTTTATGCCTATTATCTTTCCTCACCCCAACTTTAGATAACACTTTAGCACTCACCACCAGTCCCAGACTTTGGGCCTATATGCAGCACCCCATTGGGACTTTTCATATGGGGGTCATTCATCTATCTATCTAGTGCTCCCCAGTTCAAAGGTTTGGACAAACAGTGGCTGAATGTGACGACATCTGTCTGAGGAGGATCTGCGACCGTGGCCGAGCTCCTGATGTGGAGTGACAAGGGCAGCTCATTTTTCTGAGCCTGCTGCGTTCCTAATGGCTTTCCCAACAGCGTCTTTGCCTCCATCAGCAGCCTAGGAAAACAAAGGCCCAGTCCCACAGGAGACCACAGCATCAGCCTGATGGATCTGATGGATCGTAGGATCACACCAACCCTGACAAATCAGACCCTTGTGTCAGCTCTCAATACTGGACAACACCACTGGAGCGATTGAAGACACATTATAATATGGACAGCTCTGAGGAACAAATAACAGGGGAACAAAACATTAGAGGATGGGGATCAAAAAACAACAGAAAAAGGAAAATAAATGTTTTATGGGAAAAGAACCAAAGATCACAGAAGGCAATCTGTCGATCTTCATCACCTCACCCTCTGGCCCTAAGCAGCCATCAAAGACATCAGGGAGGTCCAAATGAGGTGAAGACTGCCAGCACATTATTCAATCTTGCATACCGACTCTGATCGTCTTCTTCAGGGAAGAAGAAAGAGACCGATACCCTAGTTTGCCTGTTCTCTCAACTTTATCAATTCAAATTCTGCATCTCACCCTGTTGGAGGCCTGATGAAAGCACAGACAACAGCCCGAGGATTAACCCAATGACCCAGCCTCAAGTGTACAGTTTGATTGTCAGCTCTTTACCCAGTCGGACGATCTTCCCAGGGCTTCCTTTGGACCTTTACGGTCCAGATGGACTAACCAAACCCTTTGCTAATCTTAAATAAAGACCAACAGCATTTGAAACAGCCGCTTGTCTTTGCTTTGATCCTGAGTCATCATCCAATAGTAAAGGTCAGACTTTAAAACAGGCTTTTTGAGAGAAGGAAGAAGATCACCAAAGTCCTGACAGACAGAGACAGACCTAATCAAATGTCAGCAGACACAACTGTGGAGATTAAAATGACTGGAGGGGAGCCAGTCTGCACATGAAGGATGCTGAATGCCACGAGACAGAAATGAGGTTCTTTGATCAACCTAGGAGCTGGTTAATGCCAAAAGTGGAGAAAAAATTAATCGAATTATTATTAAGGAAGGATGTCAGGAAGAAAATGTAAAACTATAATCCAATAATTCAAACATTTTCCTGTCATTACTGTGCCCTGAAGCCATGTGAAGATGCACAGTCAAGAGCTGCAACTTTCACAACCTCTGGAAAGCCGTTGTCCTCTATAATAATAATAATAACACAGTCCAGTGCAAACCATTTAGCAAATGTCAGTCACCTTGTCAGCTGTAGTTTTACTTAGTGCTCTGTGCTCAGTGAGGCTGGTCTGACAGCATGCAACAACACATGGATGGAATGGTGGAATTATTGGATATACAGAGCACATCATTTCCCCCATGTCTTGAAATGTCTTAT